CAGGTTATGAATTCCCTGGTAAGTATAACACAATACCTACGTTTATTGTCTGGCTACAAGCACAAAAGAGGGTTATGATTTCACCTAATTAAAATTCTTTTTGTGATATTTATATTATTTTATGAAAAATGTATCAATGTTTATTTTGTTAATTTAAAAGTTGTATCGGTCAATATAATATTATTATAGTTTATAGTACGTCTTTGGATATGTGCTATTTGGATAAGATACAATTTAAAATTATACCGTGAGTTATATATCAACAACAGTCGTTTAAGAATTTGGTAGTTAAATAATAATATGGATACCATAAAATAGTTCTAAAAATAATAATGTAGGTATATCGACCGCACATAAAAACACTGCAATTATTTTTTTTTTAATAACACCGACTAATTGTATTTTTTTGTTTAATACCCACAGAACTTTTTGTTCATAAAAAAATACTTTTTGACTTGGATAGAATCTTTTTGTTTTAGAAGTAAATTAAGGTTATTTAAAGTTTTATCTAAGTTTTGCGGTGAGTTATACGGAACCGGTTTTATTTAAAATTATTTAGAATCATAAAGCAATGAATGGTTGGACATTTTGCGCTGTAATCATTAACATATATAGTGTATTAAACGTTTTTTTTTTTTTTAGGAAATACACAAGTAATTACTTATCAAGATTATAAGGCAGTAAAGTGGCCGGTCACTGCCGAAGATACAGAAGAGCATACGGATGATAATTTCGCATTATTTGACAGTTAAAATTACAGATGTGATTATTATAAAATATAAATAACGATTGAAAATACTTAGTGTCCGTTTGTCTTTTTTGTTTGTCGTCGAGGTCACCAACTTAGTGTTTCGATATTATTATACTGCGATGGATTGTAATTAAAATTAATATCAAGTACATACTTGTTTTCGGTTACCCAACAAACCGTATATAGTTTTTAACATTTTAATCATAAAGCATTTATATTGAGTTAAAAATACAGGAGTAATGTTTTTGTAAAAAGTGCAAGATAAAACATTTTATAATATGATGTAACTTACTGCAAAAAAAAGGTATAAAACTATAGGTACCTACCTATAAGGGTTTTTTTTATTATCGAAAACAAGTTATTTTTCACAATGTGTAAACAGATGATAAATACCAGTGAGCAGTACTATACTTTATAAATTATTATTACAATTAACACCAATTTGGTATTAAATTTTCGGCGAAATTTTTTATTATTATATTAAAAATTTACCTGTTTTTTTTTCTGGCGGATTTTACACTGAAAAAAAATGTCATTGCGGCGGAGTTTTTACATAAACGCGCCGGTAGAAAGATTTATGATTTACTACAGCATTGCCGTAGGTCATATATTTAAGTTAACATTTTTAAGTTACCATGAAAAGAGAGCAAATACTATATTTATGACCATATACAACAGCCGCAGCCGTCTAGCAAAACCATATTATATTTAATTTATACATCTGAAAAAAACCCCTCACGAGCATCATTTTTATATATATTTTATATGTTTTAAGAGGCTGTGTTTAAATTAATGTTTTCCAACGCATCAAGTTTTAATTCGATTTGTTTGTTTTTTTTTTTATGTTCATTTTTCCTATTTCATAGATGGTTAATAAACGTGTGTGGACGTTCCATTTGGAATTTTTAACATTCCATCAGTGGGGAATTTCATAATAATATTAAGAGGTATTTCGATATTTGATATTGGTAGTATGTAGTACCTATATACAGGCCTAATGATCACTGCTGTAAATAGTGCGGGTAGGTAGTGATAATATTCCATTCTTAGTGAGTTCCTATTGAAATATAAACAACAAACTTGAATCGATTGGCCGGTGTATTGCATGAGAATGTAGTGTGAAGTGTATGTGACATGACCATCACTCAATAACATAATATTAAGATCATGATGGAATTAATTATTCCACCTCAGTGGAGTCAGTGTATTGTAAGTCCCAAAATATACTGTGGCCATTGAAATCGCCAAGTAATAAAAATAGAGCTGGAAGTTGGCTCATGATATCTTGTATAAGCTAAACTTTTTAGTGAAACTAATTTCTTGTACACCAAAAACGGTGGGATTGAGTTTGTTTGTTAGTATTTTGGTTTCGTCGAGTCAACATATTACAACTTATTAATTTACGCTGCACCGTCTATCGCTAAGGACAAAATCCTATATGATAACAATAATAATGTTAAGGAAATTAAATATATGATAAAATATTGCTATTGAAAGAAAATGTTGTTATTATTTTTAAATTCTAATACATTTAAATCGTTGTTTAATAACCATATATTTATTGGTAATTTAAAAGCTATAAAAATTTGATTAGGAGGGAGTTTTTATTATACAGTCTTAAACCAGTTAACAGATATCTGTATAAATCTTATAATAAAAAGAATCTTTTTTAGTGAGGTGTAATGAAACGGTGGTGACATACCATCACAGCCCGCATGTATTAATAAACATAAAAGAAATATATGTCTACATAATACATATATAGAACTATATATAATTGTAGTACAATGCTTGTATCCGGTCATTTCTTATTATGTAATTGAAATCGATGCTAGGACAGCGGAAAGAAACAGCCTTTTTGTTTTTTTTCTTTAATGCAATAAGATGGCATCGCTCTAAAACCATTTTTTTAAATATTTGCTTAAATAATTACATAATACAATTTATCACACCAGTTTAAAAGGCAAGTAATTTGTTTTTTTTTTTTATAATAATTTAGGAATCAAAATAAAATTTAGATTATAGGTATGCTTAGGTTTAGTTAAGAGGTAGTAAGTAAACCAAAAACTATATCAATGTCTGTTTCAAGAGCTATAATCAAAAGACAAAAATGTTCATAGATTTGCATCGCTGGGTTCAAATCAAAACATTATTATGTCAGTTGCGCTTTTTTTACATCTGCTTAAGATAAAATACTGTACATGAATTACCATTTCGTCGAGCTCATCTTCATCATTCTTGAACACAAAGTACTGAAATAAAACTATTATTTGAATTTCAAACATATAGGTACATTTTTTTTAATTTTAAAAAATGATTTCAAACAAAATGTGTTATTATGCGAGTTGCGCTACTTTTACATCTGTTTGCGATAAAATACTAAGTATGGATTACCTCTTCCACATACGCATCAGTCTTTGTGTGGTCACCTGATACGCTTTCGTTGGTTCGGTCATTATCTTCTTTCTAAAATGGTATCAAAACAATCGGAAGTATTCAAATGAAAATATTATATTTTCATATGAAAATTGCATACTCTAATTAAAAGTGTTTAAAGTTTCAAGAATAATACTCTATTAGGTAATAATGACAGTAATTAACTCATAAGCCAACTAATATTGTATATAAATAACTGTAGTTATTTATTAGTTGACAAAGGAAACTATTTTTTTTTTTTTTTGCTCATATTTTAAATCTTATGACTGAAGCAAAAATAACCAATAACGTACAATGTATGTTATTTTGCAAACGTTTGTATGACGCAAAAAACAAACTTATTTGCAAAACAACAAAACGATTCGTGTTTTTTAATAAATAAAACACTAGTGTAAATTAGAACAATGCTTCATGTTTTTACAATTTATTGTGATTTAATTTCCAAATTTTACACCCCCTTCCCAAAGCACAAACTAGACACGGTAATTACAGAACGATGGTCTTGGTGATCAAGTAAACCAATCCAGCGGTTGTAAAGTTAGATAAAGACAATAAAAAACATCAGCTTTATTTGATATGCCCGCACACGTCAGTTGTATCATTTTTTAATTATACCCATTTTCCATTCCCCTAAAAATGAGGGGGGGGGAATGCAAGTTTTTTATTTTTAAGTTTTTTTTTACGTCATTTTAAGACCTTTAACCTAAATTTTCAACAAATTTGTCAGTAGTTAGAACTCTGGCTCGAAATTACTAAAAACTGATTTGCATCGAAGCGTTTATTCGAAATTGATTTTATCACTTTCAGATTTAAAATTTCCTGTAAACCTGTGACCTCTCCGTGCCCACTGTACTGGTGTTTTTGTAATGACAAATGGTTTTAACTAAATAGTAGTAGGTTAGTAATTACAGTTACATTATTCAATTGGTACGCATTTTAATAATACATTTTAGAAAATAACTTGAATACCGATTACCTTCTGCTTATTTGTTAGCGTGAAATCCTTTGATTGAGTAGAAACTGTTTGTTTTGAAAAACAAATGATTAAAAAGAACGCAAAAACTTGTTTTGCATGCATAATAAACATTTTGAAACTGTTGAATGGTATTTAAAAAGTCATAAAAATTATTTCAACTAAAATAATGTATATATAGGCTATTTTTTTTAACTTCAATTTAAAATTGGATTTAAATGAAATAACGTAGATCTATTAAGTAAAACCAGAATCTCCAAAGAATGCATAAAGACAATTCAAAACAAAATGTGTTTTACTAAACCTAAACGTTTTGTGACCAAAATGTTCGTCCTAAAACGTATTATATTAAATTTGTACAGATTTTAAATTGAGGTCACAGTTGTGCATAAAAGTTGTTCTAAAATATGTATGTTTAAATGTCAACAGTTTTATAAATTTATACATTTTTTTCAACAAGTTACATTTACTCAAACTTATCAACAATATAATTAAATCCCATTTTTAATCTAATAACTGTTTCATTGGGTTTTTATTTAAAAAAATATTTAATTTTAATTTGTACTTTATTTGGTCAACTCATCATTACATCCCATATAAACCCAACACAAAATAAGGATTAAATATAACGAAATCGTAACAGGAATTTCAAAATGACCCCAGCCTAATAACATATCCGTGTTAATAAGCGGTTTATTAAAAAAACCGTTAATTATGAAATTAAACATGTCTAAGTTAGTAAAAAAAAAAAACATGGTTTGCAATTTTAGTGTGAATTTTTTATTTTGCATATGAATAAATTCAATAATATTATAGATTATTAATTTACGTGAAGGAGAAGAAATTATATTTCAATAATTATATAACAAAAATAATTATAAAAATATTGCTTGAAAGAAAATGATTAATTTTTTTTTAATTCTATTACATTGCTTAATAACCATATCTTTATTAGTAATTTAAATGTTACAACATTTCTTAATTTGTGATTTAACAAAACAATGTTGTGTATGCCTGTATCCGATCACTCCTTATTGTGGTCCTTCTTGGCATCATCTGTGGCAGCGGTGTCAGCTGAGACTGAGGCAGTCGCATGATCTATATAAAGTTTTGAATTAGTTCCAATGACAGTTAAAACAATTTTAATGAACACAACAAAATCGTGTATCATTAATTGCGTACAAGGGCACAATTGTACTAGATACCACAAATTAATATAAATATGGTATAAGTATCTGTCGAAATTTGTGTTTAAACGTAACTTATTACTTACCATGGACATCAGTTTTTGATTGGTTACCTAATAAATCTGTATAAAGTTTTGAATTAGTTCCGAAATATAGTATAGTTAATCAATACAACAAAATCGTGTACCATTCGTGGCGTAAAATAGCGTTTTTTTTTATATATTTTTAATTGTATTTGGTACCACATATTAATATAAATATGGTAATAAAAAGTTTTTTCGAAATTTGTGTTTAAACTTATTACTAACCACGATTTATAGTCTCTATTATGTATTCGATTTTGTCTTTGAGGGGTAGATTTCCCTGATTATTTCTTTTCATGATCTATAATTATATTAACATATTTATAAATATTTAAAATTATTATATTTCATATGACATATTTTATACCTACATTAGTATAGTTTTGAGTTTAAAGATTTAAATACTATTAAATAATAATAATACTAGTTAATAACCTATAAGCCAACTAATAGTGAATAATGTAACTAATTCAATAATAGCAAATTGTAGTTGTTATATAAACTAGTTGAATAATAACAAATGGTAAATGTTAAAACAAGAATAGTATGTTATTAATTTTAATGTTTTGATTTTTTCCAATTCAGCCAAAAGGCTCTTAATACTTACTTCTTTCTAAAATGATATTAAAATATTAAGAATTATTTAAAAAATATAATTTTTCTTATAAAAATAGTTTATACCTATATCAGTATAGCTTTATGTTTCAAGAGTTAAACACTATTAAATAATAATATTACTAGTTAATCACCTATAAGCCACCTAATAGTGTATCGAGTAATTTTTTGTGACTTAAAATTTAACAATTAAAAAGCCAGTACAGTGAGGTCGGAGCATATTGAGCCGTCCTCCTTAAAACAGACAGTTTCTACACTAACCAAGAGTTTCATGCTTACAAAAAAGCAGAAGGTAATCGGTATTCAAGTTATTTTTGTAAATGTATTATTAAAACGCGTACCTAATTGAATGTAACTGTAATTACTAATACACTACTATTAAGTTAAAACCATTATTTAATTTAAAAAAAACAGTAAAGTGGCAAAGTGGGGACGGAGAGGTTACAGTTTTACAGGAATAATTATAATTGAAAGTGATAAAAACACTTTCAAAGAAACACTTCAACGCAAATCAGAGGTAAGCATGGTTTTTACTTTATTATTTAAAATGCATCACTGGGTTAATACAACACATTATCAAGTAAATCGCGCTATATTTAGATCTGATTATGATAATAATATACTAAACATGAATTTACCTTTTCCAGGTTTGTATTGTACGTAGCAGCGTTAACAGCTGAGACTGGGGCCATTGGTTGATCTGTATTACGTTTTGGATTAGTTTCAAATATTAATGAATTCAACAAAGTACGGTTTTTTATTTTGATATTTTCAATTGTATTAAGTATCACAAATCAATATAAATACAGTATAAGTAGGTAACAGTTTTTTCGAAATTTATTTTTGAACGTAGCTAATTACTTACTGGTCTGTGGTTTATCATCTGTTACGTCTTTCTAAAATGTTTAGAAGTATTTAATTAAAAATATTTTTCTTATGACATAATTTATATCTATTAATATCAGTACAGTTTTAAGTTTAAAGAATTATACTCTATATGATAATAATAATAGTTAATAACTCATAGGCCAACTAATAGTCCATACAGCTATTAATTTACAGTCAGCGTTGCCAGTTTTTATAGCTCATTATTTTAAAATGATTTTAATTTGGGGAAAAGTTAGCGTTACAATTTTGTTTCGAAGGAAACCGGATTACTGTCAGCCCTAAATTAATAAAATGACTTTAAAATTGGTTAATAAAACATCAAATATTTCAAAATCTTTCTCTAGAACTATGAACAAAAGCCAAAAATGTGCATCGGTCTGCACCCCTTAGTCATAACAATACATTATTATGTGAATTGTGCTATTTTTAATGGATTACTTTTTCCTGGAACGCAGCATCATAAGTAAACATAAAATTAACACTTGTTTTAAATAAATTTTAATTTAAATCATATACATTTTCTCTATTTATTAAATTGGGCTATAAAACACATAGTTATTTGAGTATAGCTTTTTTTACATCTGATTAAGATAAAATAATATATACGAGTTACCTTATCGACGACAAGGCTACGATTTATAGTCTCTGTTATGTATTCGATTTTGTCTTTGAGGGGTAGATTTCCTTGATTATTTCTTTTCATGATCTATAATTATATTAACATATTTATAAATATTTAAAATTATTATATTTCATATGACATATTTTATACCTACATTAGTATAGTTTTGAGTTTAAAGATTTAAATACTATTAAATAATAAAAATACTAGTTAATAACCTATAAGCCAACTAATAGTGAATAATGTAACTAATTCAATAATAGCAAATTGTAGTTGTTATATAAACTAGTTGAATAATAACAAATGGTAAATGTTAAAACAAGAATAGTATGTTATTAATTTTAATGTTTTGCTTTTTAATACAATTTCAAACTTATCTTATTATTATAATCTTTAAAAACAAATTATGTGTTCAATAAAACGTAAACTTTTTAAATTTTTTTATAATATTTTAAATATATAATTTAATTCTATATTTTTCATATTTGTGCCAATAAAATGTATTAAAATTTAACAATTAAATAACCAGTATGGTAAGGCGGAGCATAGTGAGGACGGGGAGATCACAGGTTAACAGGAATTATTATAACTGCAGCGTTACTTAAATTCGTCTATCTTAAATACAAATAAACTCTTGTTTTAAACAATTTTAATTTTTATACTGTTAAATATTTTTTAACCAAAATGTAGTAGGTTTTATACTTTTTTTTTTATAGGAAATCGGCTTATATAACCATTACTGTAAGCCCTAAATTATTAATATATCTTTAACCCTAAACTTGATAGAAATAAAAACAATATTTTTATAAATTAAGACCTGTAGAATTTATTTTTGACAATTTTTTTTTTAATGAATATTTTTTGAATTTTTGCGTGTATTTTTAAAGTTACACCTTCTCATTTGACTAGTTTAATAGTTGTATATACACTGCCACGTGGAGCTAATTTGACATTGATACAAACAATAATTCTGGTATACGAAGCATAGTATCTTTTAGGATAAATGAAAATGATCTCTCCAGAGAACATAAAAAAAACAGTCTATATCTTTTATATTTTCACTGGAATATTGATTTAAATTTTGTGTATCTTTAAATATATTACGCCAAGGTAAGGGTTAAAATTGGTTAACAAAACAGAAAATATTTCAAAATTTGTTTCAAGACCCATGACCAAAAGTCAATAATATGCATAGATTATGTGATTTTGGCTACTTTTCCATCTGTTTAAGGTATAAGACTAATTATAAAATAACCTCATCCTTGGTCGGATCATCTTTCAGTTCAGCCAAAACGCTCTTAGTAACACTTACTTTTTTCTAAAATAATGGTTAGTGGTTGTATGTTCAAACAGTTACAGACCAAACCAAGCTCAGTATAAACCAACACAGTAAAACAGTATTAAAATGAGATGCATTGTTTACAAATTACCATCAAAACGTTTCTTTGAATGTGGTTTTATCATTTTTATTTATAATAATTCCTATAGGCCTATGCCTATGCCGTCCCTACTTTGCTTTGATTCCAATATGCCCTGATCCCACTGTACTGACTTTTGTTAACATTATTAATCAACTATAAAACTATAACACTGTAAACAAAGTTCCATAAAAATTTTGGTATGATTTGATAGTTTTTTTTTATAGATATGTTTATTTATTTTATGTTTATGTTTAATTATAGAAAATCTTCAAAAAACAGTTTTCTGGCAATTCAAAAAAAACTGTTGTCCAAAATTTTTAAGGGTAAGATATAGGAGATAAAAGATATGTTGTATGTTCAACTATCAATTAGAACTAAATGATAAATTCAAAATAGTTTAAGGGCCCAAATTCTCTATGAATTGTTTTAAGCCAAATATTAAACACTACAATATTAGCCAGAAACTTAATGTTTTAATATACTAGCTTGTTACTGCTTGTTAATTCCACCACTACTCTAAATTTATTCGGTACTTCAACGAGGCATGAAAATACTCTTTCTTGGTTGCAGACTCGGCTGAAAAATTTTTCTGTATGACTTAAGTCATATATTTTTGATTAAAATGTCAACTCGATCACTTAAACATTTTTCATGAATTTATAGCACATAACTTTTAAATATGAAAAAATTGCGGTCCTTATTAATTGGAAGGTTGGTTTCTTTTTATTTTTCCAAATTTTACATCGCCCCCAATACGCGAACTAGACATAACTATTACTGATAAAGTAACAAATCAGTGGCCCGCAATAAAAAAACACCCCGTAGGAAATTTTACTCGAATAATGTACTTATTCGAAAACCTCAAACGATATGTATATCGTTTACCAAGAATTTTTTTTTTTATCTCATATTAAAGTTTTAGACACAAGCAAAAAAAAATTATCACGTACAATATACGTTTAAACCAAGTGTTATACGGACTATGTAGAAACAGTTGTATTAAAGTATGACGCAAAAGATAATGTTATTTGTAAATCAACAAAACGATACTTGTTTATTAAAAAAAACACTCATGTAAATTGGAACTTAATCATAATATGCATATGTTCATGTTCTTACAATTAAAAATGAATTCAAATAATTTTATAATTATAAAATACTCATATGAAATTCCTTATACAACGTCTTAAGTTAGTTTAAACCTAAACTAGCTTACAAAATACCGATAATTTTACAACTGCTTAAGATCAATTATTAAATATGAATTACCTCTTCTCTGATTGCATTTTCTCTCGCTTGTAACCTCTTAAACACAAAGTATGAAACATAAAATTAACACTTGTGTTAAGTCCATTTTAGTTTTAAAAAAAAAATACAAAATGTTTATAATTCTAATTTTAGTTATGGCTACATGTTTTAATAATACTATTAATTATATAATATTATACAATATCGCTTACCTTCTGCTCCTCTGTGAGTGTAGAAACTGTTTGTTTTAAAAAACAAATTATTAAACACAATGCAAAAACTTGTTTTGCATGCATAATAAACATTTTTTAATTATTCAAAACTTTTTAAAAAATGATTTTAACTGAAATGTAGTAAATATTTTTTTAAACCCTCAATGCACGTTTAAGCGTTGAAAATAAATAACGTGTATTGAACGAGTGAAGTAAAACCTAAATACACAAAATATGCTTAAGACAAACCAAAACAAAATGTGTTTTACCAAACATAACATCTTTGCTACGTAAATGCTTCGAGTGGGTATATCAAATGAGGTAGCAATTGTACTTAGATGTTGTTCTAAAATGTTTACTTATGTTGTGTACAAATTTCAAATATCTACACTATTATAAATATTTTTTAACATTTACTAAAACCCATCAATAACATGTAGTAGCCTCTAAATCCTATCTTTAATCTATCTACCCCTTCATGATCTTTATTGCACATGTTTAGCAATTGTTTTGACGTTTGTGTTATTATTAAAACGTATGAACAATATTTTAACAATAAATATAACAAAAATCTATTTGGTACATTCACATTAAAATTTACCTACTCTAATGAATCGCAATAAATCAAGCATTTTAAAACTATTAAATAATATTGAAATAAATTTGGTTGTATAAAATATAACCTATTATTATTATTCCTATCTTGTACAATTTGACAAAATAAAACTTTTCTAATTCGATAAAGAGATATTCTACAAACAATAACAATTATGTATCTTGTCAGTTATTTGGGAAGTTAATATACAAATCATAAATCCCACTATTGTTTTTTTCCCCAGTCACTGATCAAAAAATGTACAAAGTAACTAGCACAATACTAAACAAGCATAATGCAATTATTCATTATTATAAAAACCCATGTTAACATTAAAGATAAATATGTAAAGAAGTGAGATATAATATTTAAATAAGTTATAATAACAATAATTATATTAAGGAAATGAAATAAATGATACAACAAAATTATTGCTTGAAAATATTGTCTTCTTTTAACATTTTAATACATTTAAATCGTTGTTTAATAACCATATCCTTATTATACCCATTTTCCATTCCCCTAAAAATGAGGGGGGGGGGAATGCAAGTTTTTTATTTTTAAGTTTTTTTTTACGTCATTTTAAGACTTTTAAGTTGAAAATTTGTCAGTACTTAGATCTCTGGCTCGAAATTGCATCGAAGCGTTTATTCGAAATTGATTTTATCACTTTCAGATTAAAATTTCCTGTAAACCTGTGACCTCTCCGTCCCCAATGTACTAATGTTTTTAACTCGCTTATATTAGCTTCACTTGTATGTATGTTTGTATGCAGTGTTGGGAAAAGATAACTATAAAGTTATCTAGATAAGATAACGGACAATTGAGTAATATATCATCTAGATAAGATATTAAATTATTCATTTAACATTTATTTAGCTAAAAGATAAAGATAAATACAATTTTATCTAGATGAAAAATAGATAAATTAAATTTTAACCTTCATAAAATGTTATACGAAAATGTATGAGTGAAACAAAGTATTTTCACAGATTACAGAATAATTTAATAACCAATGAGACGTAGGTACTAAGAAATGGACAGTTACGTCAAAGAGCAAATTTTCCTTATATTAGATTTCGTGATTTATGGCTACTCTGTTCATTTGTCATTTATTATTTTCATGTACTCTGTTTATGTCATCTTTTATGTAGGCAACAGTAATAGTATAAATAGGTATAAAAAGTAAATACGAGTTTATTAAACTCGATAATCGATGACGGGACATTTCATTATCGGTTGAAACTATAAACATATTGTTCTTTTTTTAGGCTTAACTATCGTTTTGGCCACATACGGTCTACGGACTACGGAGAGCCCACATTATGTTTAAAATGTTTATTACAAGGTTTTGTTATTTTATTTTGATTGAAAATACAAATAACTTTTTGGAAACGGCTCATTGTTTATTGGACTTATATTACTATTTACTATTTTACTTTTATAGTCTTTACTCTTTACCCTATATGTAGTTACTGATACAGGACTCGCCTGATATGTATATATATTTGTAAAATATAATTTATAACCATTCTGTTCAAATAAACACCTGCACTTTCGACCATTTTTTTTGTTGGGATTTTGGTTAATGTTAAACCAATATCTTGAAATTATTATCGTAAAAATTCTTATAAACACGTTTTATATAGCACTAGTAATTATTTCGAGAGTACTGGGAAAAAATTATCAACATTAAATAAAAACTGAGGACTGTAGTCGAGAACTACGAATATAAATAATAAATTATACGATAATACATATATAACTCTTATCTACTTCTACCTATTAAAAATAGGTAAAAGACGTTTTGTATAATCGACTAAAATACATTGGATTAAAATGGAATATTGGACTTGTCTAACAAGCCAACCCCAATGTATTAATAATATATTCTTATATCACTAATCACTATTCATTAGGACCTAGGTATATTAATATTTTTAGGCTAGGACTACATTATGCGTTTCGTCGGATCCCGAAACCTGTTTTTGTAAAACCCACGAATAAATACCTTAAAAAATAGTTACAATTTCTATCTAGATTAATTACCTCAGATAACCGATTTGTTTATCTAAATAAGATAATAAGATGATTTACTTTTTTTTATCTAGATAAGATGTTAATTACAATTTTTTATCTAGATAATTTATCTAGATAAAATTATCTAGATAATTCCCAACACTGTTTGTATGTTTGTATGTAACTATGTAACTAAACGAGATAGGCAACCGAACGTACATGCGTGTATTCATTGTGGTTTACCTGAAGTTTTCGAGTAATAGAGACACGTATGTACTAGAATTAAAAAACACGATTTTAAAGCACATCGAACTAAAAAGTGGAAAATAAATATAGTTTAAAAAAACTAAAAAGTACGCTTAAATAACTTGAATACCGATTACCTTCTGCTTATTTGTTAGCGTGAAATCCTTTAATTGAGTAGAAACTGTTTGTTTTGAAAAACAAATGATTAAAAAGAACGCAAAAACTTGTTTTGCATGCATAATGAACATTTTGAAACTGTTGAATGGTATTTAAAAAGTCATAAAAATTATTTCAACTAAAATAATGTATATAGAGACTATTTTTTTTAACTTCAATTTAAAATTGGATTTAAATGAAATAACGTAGATCTATTAAATAAAACCAGCATCTACAAAGTTTGCTTAAAGACAATCTAAAACAAAATGTGCTTATTAAACCTAGACGTTTTGTGACCAAAATGTTCGTCCTAAAACGTATTATATTAAATTTGTACAGATTTTAAATTGAGGTCACAGTTGTGCATAAAAGTTGTTCTAAAATATGTATGTTTAAATGTCAACAGTTTTATAAATTTATACATTTTTTTCAACATGTTACATTTACTTAAACTTATCAACAATATAATTAAATCCCATTTTTAATCTAATAACTGTTTCATTGGGTTTTTATTTAAAAAAATATTTAATTTTAATTTGTACTTTATTTGGTCAACTCATCATTACATCCCATATAAACCCAACACAAAATAAGGATTAAATAAAACGAAATCGTAACAGGAATTTCAAAATGACCCCAGCCTAAAAACATATCCGTGTTAATAAGCGGTTTATTAAAAAAACCGTTAATTATGAAATTAAACATGTCTAAGTTAGTAAAAAAAAAAACATGGTTTGAAATTTTAGTGTGAATTTTTTATTTTGCATATGATTAAATTCAATAATATTATAGATTATTAATTTACGTGAAGGAGAAGAAATTATATTTCAATAATTATATAACAAAAATAATTATAAAAATATTGCTTGAAAGAAAATGATTAATTTTTTTTAAATTCTATTACATTGCTTAATAACCATATCTTTATTAGAAATTTAAATGTTACAACATTTCTTAATTTGTGATTTAACAAAACAATGTTGTGTATGCCTGTATCCGATCACTCCTTATTGTGGTCCTTCTTGTGCACATGAAATAGGCTCGAAATTTTATTTCTTATTTTTTTTTTCACTGGGGCATTGAGTTGTTCATTTTTTGCAGCAACAGGCTAGAAAAATATTTTTTTAATAAAAAAAATCAGCCCTATTATGTATTGCCTACCCATCTAAAAGCCAAGTTTGGAATTTTGAAAACACATATTGACATTATTATTTGTTTATTTGCTGTTTTTATTAAATAAAATATAAAAAATTGTATTTATTATATAATAATAAAAGCTCTTTGAAAATGGTTAATAAAACAGAAAAATATTTCTAAATCTGTTTCAAGTTGTATCCCTGGGTAACACTTGTTTTAAATCCATTTTAACTTTGAACATATACTTTTTTTTTTTAATTATTAAAAATGTATCGCTGGGTTAATACAGCATATTACCATGTAAATCGCGATAAGTTTAGATCTGATTATGATAATATACTAAACATGAATTTACCTTTTCCAGGTTTGTATTATCTATAGCAGCGGTAACAGCTGAGACTGGGGCCATTTGTTGATCTGTATAACGTTTTGGATTAGTTTCGAATATTGATGAATTCCACAAAGTACGGTTTTTTATTTTGATATTTTCAATTGTATTAAGTATCACAAATCAATATAAATACAGTATAAGTAGGTAACAGTTTTTTCGAAATTTATTTTTGAACGTAACTAATTACTTACTGGTCTGTGGGTTATCTTCTGTTACGGGTTCGTGGATAAGATCTTGGCTGTTAACATTTACGCCTTTCTAAAATGTTTAGAAGTATTTAAATAAAAATATTTTTCTTATGACATAATTTATATATTTATTATTATCAGTATATTTGTAAGTTTTAAGAATTATACTCTATATGATAATAATACTAGTTAATAACTCATAGGCATAGGCAAAAAATACATAATTATTTGAGTTGAGCTATTTTTATAACTGATTAAGATAAAATACTAAATAAGAGTTACCTTATCCAGGTTGTCATCATCTGTGGCAGCCGTGTCAGCTGAGACTGAGGCAGTCGGATTATCTATATAAAGTTTTGAATTAGTTCCGAAATACAGTTAATAAATACAACAAAATCGTGTACTATTCATGGCGTAAAACTGCGCTTTTTATATTTATATTTTTAATTGTATTTGGTACCACATATAAACATAAATACAGTAATAAAAAGAGTTTTTTTCGAAATATGTTTTTAGACTAACCATGAACTTCAGTCTTTTCTATCTTATGGAGTAGGTCGTTGATGTATTGCACTAGCTTCTCATTTATTTTATCCAACTATAATGGTATTAACATATTTATAAATATTTAAAAAAAATCATATTTTAAATGACATTTTTTATACCTATATATTATAGTTTTGAGTTTCAAGAGTTAAATACTATTAAACAATAATAATACTAGTCAATAAGCCAGCTAATAGTGTTTAGAGTAATTGAATAAATAATAGCAAATTGTATTCGTTATTTAAACTAGTTAAATAATAACAAATGGTAAATGTTAAAAAAGATCATTATGTTATTAATTTTAACGTTTTGCTTTTTAATACAATTTCACACTTGACTTATTAATATAATCTTTAAAAACAAATTATGTATTCAATAAAACGTAAACTTTTTTAATTTTTTTATAATATTTTAAATATTTAATTTAGTTCTATATTTTTAATATTTGTGACAATAAATTGCATTCAAATTTAACAATTAAATAGCCAGTACAGTGAGGTTGGAGTATCTTTAAAGATACACTGCCATGTGGAGCTAATTTTACATTGATACAAACAATAATTCTGCTATACGAAGCATAGATCTAGCGATGATCTAGATATCTTTTATATTTTCACTGTTATATTTATTTCAATATTGCGTATCTTTAAAGGTATAACGCCAAGGTAGGGGTTAATATTGGTTAATAAAACAGAAAATATTTCAAAATGTGTTTCAAGAACAATGACCAAAAGCCAATAATGTGCATAGGTTTGCATCATTATTATGTGAGTTTGGCTACTTTTACATCTTTTTAAGGTATAATACTAAAAATAAATTACCTCATCCTCGGACGGATTTTTTTCCAGTTCAGCTATGACGCTCGCAACACTTACTTTCTAAAATGATATTAAAATATTAAGAAGTATTTAAAAAAGTGTATTTTTCTTATGAAATAATTTATACCTATATCAGTATAGTTTCAAGAGCTCAATACTATTAAATAATAATTATACTAGTTAATCACCTATAATGTCACCTATATGTTCAAACCAGTACAGTCCAAAACAAACAAAGTACAAACCAGCACAGTAAGAAATTATTAAAGTGAATTACATTGATTTGCATCTTAATTATGTGAGTTTGGCTACTTTCACATCTGTTTAAGGTATAATACTAAATATAAATTACCTCTTTCTTGTACGGATCATCTTTTTGAGGTGAGACTGGGTTCATACCACGAACTGCATAAAGTTTTAAGATTAGTTCCGAAATACAGTTGAATCAATTATAATGGTTACAACAAAATCGTGTACCGTTTGTTGCGTACAAAGGGCGGCTTTTCTTTATGATATTTTCAATCGTGTTAGTTACCACAAATCAATATAAGTATGGTAAAAATTTTTTTTTTTCTAAATTTGTGTTTTAACGTAACTTTTTACTTACATACGATTTCACCCTCGGATTCGTAACCTAACTGGTCATTGTAATTCCGCAATCGCATATTAACATTATTCATTATCTAAAATGATATTCATATATTTTTAATTATTTAAATATAACATTTTCCCTAACGATTTATTTAAATACATACAGGATGATCCTTTTATCCTATATGGACCATTCAATATCTCATAAGATTTATACAATGTAATCTCAGTTTCGCGCAATCTTTTTGGTTTTTACCCTCCTCCAAACTTAGTTTTTTTTATGGCAACTATTGAATTTAAAATTTTAACCCATATCAATTTCATTAACTTTTTAAATTTAGAGAAATGTACAAAACATCTAGACTAGGTAATAACGATAACCATTTTCGGATATCTATTTTTTAAGTTATTGAGGTTTCAAGTTTGGGGCAGGAAGAAAGGTGTAATGTAGTATTATTTTTATCTGTACGTGCTTTACAACCGCACTTCCCCTCCTATTCTAACTTTTACACTCTTATAACTTTTAAAATAGTCGGGACGGGTAAAAACAAAGAAAATTGTGAAAAAATGAGATCACATTATATAAAACCAATATGAAAAAAACAAATTTAATTTCTTATTAAATCCTATGACATATTGAGTGGCCCACGATATAGGAATTACTCTATATATTAGCAGTGTTAAATGTTTTAAGAATTATACACTATTGTGTAATGAAACAAGTTAATAATTATTAAGCCAACTAATAGTGTATGCAGTTATTATTCTACAGTCAGCGTTGCCATTTTTTATTACTCATTAGTTGAGAAAATGATCTACTTTAAAATGTGTAATGCCTACCCAAAATTATTTTTAAAAACATGTATTTCTAAAAAAAATGAAAAAAAGTGAACTAAAAAGTAAAAAATAATTTTACTAGTATAACAATTTACCAATCAATTGTAGCACATTTTTTTTAAGGCAATTACTTTAAAAACAACCGATAATTTACAACAATTTAAAATAATGTTAAACATCTTTAAATTTTGACTTAAAAGAAAATCGTGGGCCCTATTCAACAAAGTCCCTATTAAATTTACCAGATAATGTTTTATAATGTAAGTTTTTTTTGTAATTTAAATTTAGTTCAACTTAAGTGTGTGACACATACATTTCATAATTTAGGCTTCTCGAATTTTATATTTATTTTATTTAAAATTTTAATTATCAATGCCCTTTTTAAAATAATTGTTATGAGCTACAAACAATTTTTTTTTAATATATTTATTTAATATTTGCTTAAATAAATATAATATTGTGTTTATGTTACCTGTCAGTTTAAATTTAAGTAAATTCTTATTTATAAATATAATTTCAATATCCAATTATTAGTTAAGTTATTGTTTTGATATAAACTTAGTGTTTTCAATTTTTGTGTGGGTTGCGCTACGTTTACATCTGCTTTATTTAAAATACTGTAAATGAATTACCTCACTAATAACCGCAGGATCTTCGGAAGCTATCTTGGATGATAGTTCATCTCTCTACAAGTATTTTTAAATATTTTAAAATATTTAAATTAAATCATATTATATTTAAATTACTAATGCCATTTTTGAAACTCAATAATTATTATGACCTAAAACAATTTTGTTTAAATGTATTTATTTAATTTTATGTATATTTATATATAAAAAATTGTATTTCTTATATCAGTTTTAAATTAGGTAAATTTATATTATTAATTTTTAATTTAGGAACCCGGATTAAATAACTATTAATGTCAGCCCTTAATTAATATAAAAGGCCTTTACAGTTGGTTAAAAATAAAAAAAATATTTTAAAACCGGTTTCAAGAACTATAACGAAAAGCTACAAATGTGCGTCGATTTTTAGTCCTAGGTCAAAACAATACATTATTATGTCAGTTGAGCTTCTTTAACATCTGCATAAAATAAAATACTGTATGAATTACCATGGCTAAGAACTTATCTTCATCATCCTTAAACAAAAAGTATTAAATATAATAATAATATTTGTTTTAAATCCATTTTAATTTAAAAAAAATGTTTTCAAATAAAATGTATTATTATGTGAGTTGCACTATTTTTACATATTCTGTTTAAGATCAAATTCTAAATATAGATTACCTTGCAGAGTTCCTTAAGTTTGTCCATCTTAAAAACCAAATGGTACACATACAATTAACTCTTGTTTTAAATTAATTTTAATTTTTAACGTGATACATTTTTTTTCTTCATTTTTTAAATCCTTACACTTAAATGTAGAGTGATACATGTGGTACGAAAAACTGTTCGCACTGTCCGTCAAGCGAGTGCCCTAATAACTTGACACAAGGCCTACCTATTCAAACACAGTAACTGTGACAGTGATAACGACAGGGTCAATAGTATTGTTTAATAGGAAAAAGTGTTGGTACTGTTGTAAAACCCGAACGAATATCGACCTTAAATTCAAACTTGGTCACTGTCTCATAATAGCAGCGTTGGACCCCAAAAGGCATAATTAATAGGTTCGAATATACAAAGGATTTTTTAAACATCTATTCGATGTGTATGACAACAAAAATGATCAACACACTATAGATTATTTTATTCGAAAACACCAAAAAACATGTACATCGTTGACTAAGGAAAAATAATATTTTTTTTTTCATATTAAAACTCATACTAAAGCAAAAATAACAGATAACGTACAATGCGCGTTGTCTTGCAAATGTTATTCTAACTATTTAGAAACAGTTGTATTGGAGTATGACGCAAAAAACAATGCTATTTGCAAAACAACAAAACGATACATGTTTTTATTAAATAAACCACTAGTGTAAATTAGATCATTGCTATTCATATTTTTACAATATATTGTGATATTTATTTCCAAATTGTACACCCCCTCCCCAAAGCGAAAACTAGACACAGTAATTACTGATTGATGGACTTGCTGATCAAGTAAACCAGTCCAGCGGTATTAAAGTTAGATAAAGACAATAAAAAACATCAGCTTCGCTTTGCAATTTAAATTATCATCTAGTGTATTATGTAGTGGGACACAGCCGTGAAAAAGTATATTAATGAGTTACAATATTGTGATATGTTTTTATATTGATCTGGCATCGTTTACCGTGGAAATTATTTTTTATCTTATATTAAAGTATAATAGTCCTTATACAACATTTTAAGTTCCTAAACCCAAAATAGCGCTACTTTAAGATCTGTTCAAGATAAAATATTAAGCATGAATTACCTCATCATGGTATACTTCGTTCCAAATTTCCTTAAAATCAAAGTATTAAACATTAAAATTTACATTTGTTTTAAATCTATTTTAATTTGTATTATTATTATTTTTTATTGTTATTATTTTATACATTTTTTTATAATTAATAATGTTTTCAACTAAAATATAGTAGGCGTATAATTACAGTTCCGTTTTTTAATACGAGTTTTAATAATACATTTAAAAAAGTAACTTAAATATCCATTACCAACTGCTTCCTTGTGAGTGTGAGATGGTCTTTGCCTGTAGAAACGGTTTGTATTAAAAAACAAATGATTAAACATAACGCAAAAACTTGTTTTGCATGCATAATGAACGTTTTAAAATTATTGAATAGTATTTAAAAAGTCTTAGAAATTATTTCAACTAAAATGTAGTACATAAAGACTATATTTTTTTTAACTTCAATTTAAAATTGGATTTAAAAGAAATAACGTAGATCTATTAAGTAAAACCAGAATCTCCAAAGTTTGCATAAAGACAATTCAAAACAAAATGTGTTTTACTAAACCTAACCGAAACGGCTACCAAAATGTATGCAATAATTTGTTGTTTTAAACTTGTACAGATTTTAAAATGAGGTCACAGTTGTGCGTAGAAGTTGTTCTAAGATATGTACGTTGTGTATATAATTCAAATATCAACAGTTTTATAAATATTTATTTTCAATCAAGTAAAATTTACTAAAACTTATCAATAACACAATGCAATCTTTTAATCCCATCCTTAATCTAACTACCCCTTCACGATCGTTATTCGACAAGTCTAGCACTTTATTTTATAATTCTTTAGTCTTTAGGTTAAAACAAATAAATATTTTACCCAAAGCGAGCAGTACAAATATGTAAAACCTTTATTGCATCCCCGCATCCTTTCTATACATTTATCTAGCATAATATATGAATTTACTATGAGCAACATAAATTATTATTAAAAATATATATATTTTTTCCGGCTTTATGAGCCATTTTCTAAATCCGTATTGTGAATTATGGGCCCATAGATTTTTCTAAAAACTTTCCTCTGCAGTACACAAAGTTCGTTCTCATCATCAATAAATAATTTAGTGGGCCCAAAGACAGGATGGATGGCCAAGCCGTATTTAAACATAAATATCCCTCAAGTCTTTTACATAATATATTTACTATACAATCTGAAGTGCTTAACAGGCGATCGTACCTCTAAAGAAGTTATGGCTTAAAATAAATTAGGTCATGGTCCGAAGATTGACCCGTTTGTCTGTTATCTCCCCAAACTATTATGGCTTAAAAGCTATACGGTGTTAAGTGCATTGCGAAACACTAAAATTTTATTTCAACCATAAAATAATACAACATGTGTTTATTTTAAGAGAATACAAACAGTATAACAGTATAGAATGTAGAATAAAATAGATATTTATTATCTGTCATTTTTAGTAAGCGCAGAAGGAAAAAAAACAATCTTAATAGTTGAAATTTGGTTAAGGACTGGAACTTGTCCCGATGCTTCTGACATGATAATAACTGTTTAGTTGTCCTCTTGAAAACAGAAATTTTCGTTACATTTTTGTCTTTATGATAGTAAAAACCATAATTGTTTTAATAAACCAACAATAGTATGCATTGACTTTGATGTACTTACCCAATAATTTGTTACATCATGAAGGACTGGGTAGGGGAAACGCAATGGTTTTTGAGCGGGAGACTCAAAATATACACAACGAAAAAACTGCAATATAAATGCAATATATTAAAAGTTATTACAATTTAAAATTAATTTTTACTCACTGAGCCTATTGAATTGCGCACGCCAGTAATACGAATGAACGCTATCGGCCTGGGTTTAAAATGCAACACCTGCCAACCGTGTGTCCATTTTTTAGAATTGTTTATGATCATTACCCATTCCTGATTATTGGCAGAAACTTCTACGGTGTAACTGTTGAATAGGTTACTCTGGTCCCAAAGTAGCATTCTATCAATTATGACAATAATATCAATATTATTATCAATATAAGCAAAATATTAAAACAAAAGTTGCTGATATGAAAGCCAATAACGAAAGAGCTGATGAACATTTAAGTTAGGAGTCTATGCAGCTGAACGCATACAAATTGGCCAGATATAAATGGTATCTTAGGCAATCTATCAAGAAGACATCACAATTTTTTCGACAAATATGATGATATAAAACAAAATAGTTATTTAGAAAAGCAAGTTCTTTAAACCATTACCTCATTGAACTAAGTATATAAGGTTGTGCGAGTTGAATCCGAATACAACCCAATCCTATAGGATGCCATGTATATTTGTTATTCCGAAAGTCTTTACTGCCAATATAGTAGGAATGAATTAAGAAATTTCTTGATATATGTGGTTCACCTTCAATGACAGTTGCATTCATAGATTCTATAGCAACATTGTACTTGGGAGCTAAGAAATAAAAATAAGTCAACTAGATAAATAAAAATTAAATTTTTTGGATATTATTATTTTGCAATCTTACCCACGATTCCATTTTTGATTTTCACTGAGTCCAATCTTTCAGTATTGTACGATAGTTCTAATAATTGGAATTTCTTATTAACAGTATTTTTTGTACCAACTATTCGAATATACCTAACTATCTGCTTAGGAATCCACAAATCTTGAATACAACGACAAATGTAATCTGAATAATCTACAACACGCACCCAATGGTTGTCATCAATTGAAACATCAATGTAATAACTGTAATCCCTAAAAATTCAAACAAATCGAACGAACCGTTGTATATTTTTTTATTACTAATAAAATAAAAAAAGTTAATTATTGCTGAATTATTTAATAAATCATTATATAAATTATTTATGACTACTAACAAACGTGTCTTTTTATAAATAAAAGTTATTGACAAAATATAAGAATAAACTTATTTGGGATAAATCAAGGGAAATTTAAATCAAAACTCTTATGTTGGACGCATACAAAAATTTCCATTCATGATTAAAAGCATTGATAAACATACCTTGAATCATTATCCCCGAACATAATTGTAATTTTGTTTATAATTGTTAAATGACACAAAGTTATCATAGCACTGCCGTCGAATTCATTGATATCCAGAACACCTTGAGAACCATAAATAAGATTCACGTCTAAAAATTAAAACTTTTAAAACCAAAATAGTTTGATGAATAATAAAGTATGTGTGCAACAAGCATACTGTGCTGTACTCGAAGCCGCTGGTCATGTGGTGACACCGTGTTTCGTAACAACCTGGCATCCGATATTATATTCGATATTGTATCTGCTGTGATGTTACGCTGACCTCGCTGAGTTCTTCATCACTCATCAACGAATATCTAACAGCAGATAAAACCTGGTCGATGGCATCAGAATCTAAGCAGTCTTGGCTCTCTGTGATCCAGCGATAAACCACACGGAATATATCCAATTCGTTAGCATAAAACGAGTCACGAGTAAGAATTTCTCGAAGAGCACCCTGAAAATAAAATTTGTTCCTCAACTTGCGAACAAATACGAGTAATGTGAGATTTTTTTATTTAAATATTATTACGGCTGACAAATTTCGAAAATTTTCTGGTTGAAATACATCCAAAGCGTGAGTATCGATAAAGTCGAGCAGATATTCGGGTGATTTTACTACGGACGTTTCGGGCTGACAAAGTCGTGACATAGCAAACAAAGAACATACATTATGCACATTAACGTTATCGCTTAAATACTGGGACAGTGTGTACTGTAAGCTTGAGAGTTCATATAAATTCGAGAGATTCAATAATTCCACAATGACATTATCCTAAAAATACATCTTTCATTAATCGTTTTCTAATTTAACATCTTTCCCAAATTAACTAATAAAACACAACTGATCGACCTAAACGATCGCACGGTTTTTAAAAAGTTGGGTATATGCTATTTGAATAACGTTAAGAATATACGTCACCTTTAGATCACTTGAATTCAAATGGCCAGTATAAATATACTCGAGAATTATTTTTAATGACGCTAATGGTGTATCATTAATGTCGACTTTAATCTTATCGGTCTCTTGAAAACCTCCGAACAATAACCTTCTAGAAATTATACATGATAACAATACAAACTATTATTTCAACGACCCCAACGGAAAAAGTCGTAAATCATTTTTTAAACTAAGTTTAGTTTTGACCTGAAAACATGTCATGTCTTTTGTTTAACCGAAATAGATGGTCGTATCACAATAAATGGGCCAAAGAAATAATCTGTGTAACCAGTTAAGGATAAAGTGAGTTAAAACCGTTTTCAGAGCGTCGAAAAATATGTGGCACAATCAGTAAGGCTAAGGCCTTTGTAGTATGACTTCCCAGACTATCTGTCTAAAACTTACCGTAAACTCTGGTATGGTTTAGGAAGTTAAATAACATTGAATCAGTTATACACACGTTTCTAACAGTTATGTTAAATTAAGTTTTAATACCTATAATGTCTCATTTATTGCCAAAACGAATTTACAATGTAAACAAAATCAAGGTCCTTAGCCATATAAAATGTTCCATGCTAATTATGGAACATTAGGTTTAGTCAATATCTACATTTTGTAATGGTTTTAAAATCTTAATATAAATAAATTTAATATGATAGTTTATGACCGCCGCCACTGACAAACAATAATAAGTTTTCCATACGTTTATCGATAAGTACTTATTTGCTAATAGCAACTTTCTAAGCACTCTAGAAACCACTCAAAATGAATTAATACTAAGGCGATTTGCTTAATTACAAAAACTTAATAGGTACCTAAAATATTCACTGCGCCAAGCTAAAACCGCACGGTGGACTGGCAAGTGTACCTCATCGACAATTAAATCTAGATCAGGAAACCTGAAATAAACATTATAATTTACTATTATACAGATACGAGTTATCAAAAAGATAATAATTATTATGATTCATTTTTTATGTAGTTAAAAACTGACACACTGATCAAGATAAATATAATAGTAAACGACTTTTCTTTAATAATTTTTTTCAAGGTCAACAGGCCTTTATTATTATTGGAAGTACTTGAAATAATGAATTCCTTATGTTACAGAAATTAAACCAATAACGAAAATAATTGGTATAATAGTTATAATGTTATTGGTGCAAAGACCTAACCTAACCGACATACCTGTTATCTAGATACAGAGCGCTAATGTCTTTGACCAATAACTGACTGTGATCGATTGGTTCTTTGTTTTGCTGTTTAGTGTACACTCAACAGGGCCATAACACGCTAATAGAAATTAAAAAAAAAAACTGATTTTGCTGTAGAGTAAGTATGGTTTATACAGGGTGGCCCACAAAGTTTGACAAATTAAATAACTTTTGTTATAGTGAATATTTTTAAAATTTTTTTTATACTTAAATAATTTATACTCATTTGCACTATACGCACCACGGTTTTTATTGCACTTACCTGTTTTACTTTTTTTAATAATTTTTTTTCAAGATTGAAAATAATTGGTGAAAAAATTTGTATTTTTATTCATCCGTTCAAAAGTTATATTCATTTAAAAGTGAGGATGACTGATGACGGGAGGTGGAGTGCCGTAGATAAAAATAACTTATTTAAAAACAATTTTTAAAAATATTCACTAGAAGAAAAGTTATTTAATTTGTCAAATTTTTGTAGGCACCCTGTATATTAATGATACGGTGTACCATCAAGCATTCTGATTTTACATTTGGAGATTGCTGCGATCAATTTATGAAGAAACAAAATTATTAATTCATTTGTAAAATATATTATGTACTTGGAGTTGTCCATAAAATAATAATGACTAAAAAATAAATCATCTTCATCTTAAATTATGTGGGAATACAATATCAATCGTTGAACACTATATAAAAACACTATAAAGAAAATGGTCATGTGTGTTTGAAAGCCCAATGAAAAATATACTTATACCATAGTAGCATAACATATTTGTCCATACTTTGTGATTTTCATGATTTGTGATCGATTTTTTTGTGTAGGTACATAAAGTTGTTATTGCTGTATTTTGACTAATGTTTGACTAATGCCCAGAAGGTTTGAAACCGACATCAGTCTAATATACAGGGTGATTTTTTTATATAATTAGAAATAATACCATTGTTAGGTATTTGTTGTTAATTTTTTTATTTTTAAAAATGTTTTGGTTATCTACGGTATGTAATAGTAAACATACATAATTAAACTTAGAACCCATGTACATAGAAAATATAGATATGTAAAGGAGTAAGATATAATATTTAAATAATTATATAATAACAATAATAAATATATGATACATTAAAACAAATATTGCTTGTAAGAAAAATATGTCTTTTTTTAAAATTCTAATACATTTTAATCGCTGTTAAATAATCATAAATTTATTAGTAGTTTTAAAGTTATAATATTTTCAATTTTTTTAATTTTCTATTAAGTAGCTTTTCCTACAATCTTAAAACAGTTATCAGATAGGTGTATATTTAATTAATAAAAACAAATGTTGTATGCCTGTGTCCGATCACTCCCCAGTGCGGTAAGAAAGTTCTCTCGATAACAGATTGAGCCTTGTTTTTGGTTTTTCCTCTGGTGCATTGAGTTGTTCATTCTTTATGGCAACAGGCTAAAAACAATTTTTTTTATTAAAATCGATCTGCTATAAAATCGATTGCCTACCCAAATATAAATTAATCTGAAATTTTTAAAACAGATATTGACCTTAATATATCTTAATTTAAAATTTCTACATTTGCTTTTTGTTTGAATAATAAAAGGTCTTTATAATTGGTTAATTAACCAGAAAATATTTCAAAACCTGTTTCAAGAACCATAACCAAAACCCAAAAGTGCGCATCAATTTACATCCCTGGGTAAAAACAATATAGTTTTATGCTAGTTGCACTATTTGTATATCTGTTTGCGATAAAATAGTAAAATAGATTACCTTATCCTGGTACGCAACATCATCTTCCTTTAAAACCAAGTATTTAACATAAAATTTACATTTTTTTAAAATCTATTTTAATTTAAACATAATACACATTTATTTTTACAATTAAAAATGCATCGCTGGGCTAAGAAAATACATTGTTATGTGAGTTGAGCTATTTTTAGATATGGTTAAGATAAAATACTAATTATGAGTTACTTTTTTCAGGTTGGCTTCATTTGTAGCAGCGGTGTCAGCTGAAACGGTGGCCTCTGGATGACCTGTTTAACGTTTTTAAATTAGTTCCAATATACAGTTAAAACAATTTTAATGAACACAACAAAATCGTGTATCATTCATTGCGTCCAAGGGCGGCTTTTCTTATTGATGTTTTTAATTGTATTTGATACCACATATCAATATAAATATGGTAATAAATAGAGTTTTTACGAAATTTGTGTTCAAACTTATTACTAACCACGAGCCATAGTCTCTTTTAGGTTTCCGAATAGGTATTCGATGTGTCTCCATAGCATATCATTTGTTTTCTTGGTCTATAATAATATTAACATATTTATAAATATTTAAAAAAAGTCATATTTCATATAATATATTTTAATAACTATATTAGTAAAGTTTTAAGTTTCAACAATTTTTTACTTTTTTAGATAATATTACTAGTTAATAATTTACAAGCTATCTAATATTGTATATAGTTATGAATCTACAGCCAGCATTCTTATACCCTTTGTCGACCAACGGTACTTATGAGTCCACCGAAAAAAAAATATCCTATAAAACCATATGATATTTTTTTCTCGTTTCTGGTTGGTCGGTACTCACAAGTACCATTTTAGCTATGACAAAAAATTATTGTTTAGTATGTAGTGCTATTATTAAACATTTTATCGGCGATAATAGTCGGCAACGGTTGCATTCAATACATACACATGAGTTGGTGTTTTGTTTTGTTATTAATACGGTCTTTCCAGGCCACTATATATATAATGAAAAGTGCTGGTTATATTCGAATATATGTTTAGATATACTATCTAATTTTATATTGTCGAGTTTAATGTAGTGAAGTACTGATAATTTAATATTTGGACTTATAAGTACCGTTGGTCTTTCACGGCGAAATTTTTTTGTTGACTGTGTTCAATTTCTCGTCGACTGTCGTGTCGTGTGCGTCTATTCGTTTAAACAGTTAACTAATTTTTTTTCAAAAATATCAAATAATAACTTGCTATTACAGTGGATAAATGAATATCTTCCATTGGATAGTAACGAAGTTACAGACGAAGAATTATCAGAAGATGAAGATACGAATATTATTGCGGGAGGTAAAGATTTTCTTTTTCTGGACAGTAATATTTTTATTGAAGATAATAATATAGTACCTAGTGAATTAGAAATTCAAAATGTAAAAGACAGTTTTGAATTTATTTTGAATAATACTGATATTAATTTTGCAAATGTAATACAGCCAGTAGAACCTGTGGTAATAGCTGTGCCTACTTCTACTCCAGCTCTAAACTTAGAAAATATTCCTGGCCCTTCAAATTAGGTCGGTTCGCCTCTCCCTAAAAAACGTACAAATAATTCAAAGAGAAAAAAAGGAAATATCTCCCCTGAGATTCGTCGTAAATAGAAAAAGATTACTGCAAAAACATTAGATCCATATTATTCTCTCCCGGATGGTCCTGTTGATGGAAAATTCACGGGGGAAACTGCAACCTCATTTTTTTTGGAATTTATTGATGGTATTCTAGATCAAATTGTGTACGAATCAAATTTATACAGTACTCAAAGAGGGCGTATTTTGAATGTTAAACGTCATGAGATACTGAACTTCATAGGAATAAATTTTTTGATGGGTTACCACAAACTTCCAAGTTGGAAACATTATTGGGCAACATCTAGTGATCTAAATGTTTCTTGTGTAGCTAATACAATGAGTCGTAATCGATTCGACAATATCTTGTCGAATCTCCATGTTCAAGATAACTCATAAATACCAATTAATAATACAGATAAATTGTATAAACTTGGACCACTTATTAAGCACTGCAACAAAGTATTTGCTTCATATTATCACGGAACTAGAGAACTTAGTATTGATGAATCAATGATTATTTTTAAAGGTCGCAATAGTATGAAACAATATAATCCTCTAAAACTCATAAAACGTGGCTACAAAGTATAGTGTTTATCTGATCAAAGGGGATATATGAAAAACTTTTGCATTTATCGGGGAAAATATGAACAATTATCCGATGAATTTCAGTCGTTTGGTTTGGGTGAGCGTGTTGTTCTACATTTAACAAAAGATGAGTGTAATAAAAATATAAAAACATTTTTTGACAACTATTTTACTTCATTACCATTGATAGAAAAATTAAAAGCTGAAAATTCATTGGCATGTGGAACCATCCGGTCAAATCGCAAAGATGTTCCGGTTTTGGATGAAGACTCGAAAGCGCCTAGAGGTTCATCGGATTATCGAATAACTAACAGTGGTATTTACAAATGGAAAGATACTAAATATGTCATGTTGGCATCAAACTATCACGGTTCAGAATTAACAACAGTTACTAGAAAGGATAAATTTGGTCGTAAAAAAGATATGCAATGCCCACAAGTCGTACGTGATTATAATTGTTATATGGGTGGTGTAGACCATGCTGACCAACTTAGAATGACTTACGGCGTTGATAGAAAATCAAAGAAGTGGTGGCACCGAATTTTTTGGGGTTTGTTAGACATTATGTTTGTGAACTCATGCATAATATACAAACAAATACATGGAAATATTTCCTTACTGGATTTTCGACGTTCAGTCGTACAAGGGCTTATAACTTAACGAGAACTCCCTTCGTCAAATATAAGGAAAAAATCAAAAAATAAGGTTCCGGCGATAAAAAAAAAAGAAGAGGGAAGGAATGGTCTGTGTCAAAAGACATCCGATTGACCAATCGCGGAATACATTGACCGAAATTTGTTTCTAACCGAGGACGTTGTGAAGTTTGCGCTATCAATGGAATTCAGTCGAGACCATATTCCAAATGTTCTCATTGCAATGTATTTTTATGTTGCAATGATAAGAAAAATTGTTTTTCTGACTACCATGATGCAGGTTGTTCGTGATTCAATAATTTAAAAAATTTAATAATTTTTATAATTAATAATCAAAGTATGTAGTATTATGTTGTATATTAAATATTAATACGTTTTAATGATAAGTGTGGTCTTATAATTATTCAGTTAATTTAAGCAACACATAATAATCAAAACCTATCCAACAGCAATTTACAAACACAGAAAATACGTTTTTTAATAAAATAATTCATTTGTAGGGAAGACTTGGTCTAATAATTTACATTTTACAGAGTAAAATATATTTATTACACATTATAGTTATTAAATTTATTTATTTATAATGTTGTTAAAAATGTTAATGTTAATGTTAAAAAAAGTTCAGCTAAATGACTGTCGGTACACTTAAGTACCACCAGAATAATTATTTAAAGACCATCGGTACTTCCAAGTACCACAATCAAAACTCAAATTTGGGTAAAAAAAAAAAATAAATTTTTTGTTTATCCTTATTTAGGTTAAATATAACACGGTTATGCAAAAAAAGTTTAAAAATAATTTTATTTCGATGCTCGGTCAACAAGGAGTTAAAAATGATCTACACTAAAATGTATTGCCTGCCCAAATAAAAGTCGAGTCTGATAGGTTTCAAACACATTTTGACTTAGTGCATCAACTACATTTTTAATGAATATAAATTTATTGTTAGGTTCTTTTGATATGATGAACTATAAATTTCATATTTCAAAAAATATTTCGTAATATCCTTTGGCTTCTCGGCTTAGTATTTATTTAATTTAAAATTTAAACTATTGATACTATTTTTGAAATTCAATAATCATTATATGTTAAAAACAATTTTATTTATTTGGCATTTGTTTAAATAAATATAAATTGTTATCGATCGTGTAAGTTTAAATTAAAGTAATCGACTTTTATTAGTGCGTCTCTGAGTTAAAACATTATAATATGACTTGGGCTACTTTTACATCAGGTTTAGATAGAAAACTAAGTATGATTTACCTCTTTCAGGTTCGCTATTTCTTCGGTATCGTTCTTAGCTGAGGTTGAGACCAACAAAGGAATTGCATAAAGTTTTAAAATTAGTTCCGAATTCCAGTTGAAACAATTTAAATGAATACAACTAAATCGTACAAAGGTGGCTTATATTTTTGATATTTTTAATTGTATAAAGTACCAAAATTCATTACAAATATGGTATAAAATACAGGTTTTCGAATTTTATGTTTAAAAGTAACTAACTACTTACAACTAATCTCATCTTCGTAACGTAATTGGGGATTGTTTTCTCGCAATATCTTATTAGAATTTTTCGCAATCTAAAATAATTAAAAAATATTTATAAGTACCTATTTAAATAAAAATATTTTTCTTATGATATATTTTATTACCTATATTAGTGTGTTTCAAGTTTTAAGAATTATACGGTATTTTTTTATTTGATAATAATACTAGTTAATATCTTATAAACCAACTAATAGTATAATAAGTATTTTTTCTACAGTCAGCGTTGCCAATTTTTTTTTCGCTCATTTTTTAAAAATTATCTACTTTAAAATGCATTCGTAAGTTTTTGTGTGTGTAGATCTCTCCTAAAAAGAAAATAGGATTCTTAATGTGAAAATATGTTCTATAGGTTGTGTTTGTGTGTATGCTTTTGTACATTTCTTAATTGGATATTTGTAACATAAATTTAAGTTCATTGTTATTTTCAACAACAATTTAAACATATAAACATTAGTCATGTTATAGGTTTGGTGAAAAGCAGCCATAGTTACCATAGCTCCCACCACTATCTCCCCTAATGAAAATTCAAAACAGTTTAAGGGCCCAAATTCTTTATAAATTGTTTTCAGCCAGATATTAAACACTACAATATTAGCTAGAAACTTGATGTTTTCATATACTAGCTTGTTACTGCTTCTTAATATACTATATCGTTATCTATAATTCCACCACTACTCTAAATTTATTTAGTACTTCAACGTGACATGAAAATGCTCTTTCGTGGTTGCAGACTCGGCTGAATAACTTTTTCAATTAATAAAGTCAAAATGTTTATTACTGTGTAATGTTTATTTTGTGTTATTTAAGCTGCGTAGAAATAGTTGTATTACAGTATGACGCAAAAGACAACGTTTTTTAAAAACAATAAAACGACACATATTTTTAAAAAACAACACTCGTGTAAATAGGAACTTTATTTCATATGTTCACAATATTGTAAATTTATTAAAAAAAGGGATTGAATTTTTTTTTAATTCATATAATTATATAGTACTCATATAATAGTTCTTATACACAGTTTTACATTCCTAAACCTTACATACCGTACGAAATAGTGCCATTTTATAACAGTTTAAGATTATGTTTGAAATATGACTTACCTCGTTCATGAATACTTCATATAACGCTGCCTTAAAAAAGTAATAAATACAAAATTAACACTTGCTTTAAATCGATTTTAATTTTGAACATAAGCATTAATTTTTAAATTCTTAAAAATGCATTAAACATCGATTACCTTCTGTGAGTCTGTGAATTCAGAATGTGTTTGTTTTAAACAACAAATTATTAAACATGACACAAATATTGCTTTTGCATGCATCGTAATAACTTTTAAATTACACAAAAGTGTTTAAAACAGTTTTGGAAATTATTTCAATTAAATGTAGTATATAAAGACTGGTTCTATTACGGCCAATTTAAAAGTGCATAAAAAGGAATTAACTTGTACCCACGAAGTAAAAACACAATCAATCTAAGATACGCTCTAAGACCAACAAAAGCAAAAATGTGTTTTACCAAACCTATCGTTTTAGGTACGAAAATTGTTCGAGAATTCGTCCGTTACCATATTAAATTTGTATAGAAATCAAAATGAGGTCACCGCTGTACACACATGTTGTTTTAAAATGTGTATGTTGTGTATAAAATTCAAATATCTACAGTCTTACACATACTTTTTGGGACAAATTGAATTTGAAATTGATATTATAACACCCGCCATATTTTACAATAACATCTAGTATAGCTTTATTACGGTTTATTACCGAGTAAAAGTTGTTTTTCACAATTATTATTGCTGCAATGCAATTAAATGATAAATAACATAATACAATTTTATATGGTTTATTGTCAATATGGCAAGGCTGCTTATTGACATTGGCTTTTTGTTCTGCCTATCTAGTACACCATAGGCGATTGTTTAATCTTTTGAGTTAAAACCCTATAGAAACCAATTATTCCACGTATATTCTGCTAGTAATCCAAACGATACATAAATAGAATACAAAATATTATTCATGATTAACTTATGCTAGGGGACATTGATGATGACTGAGTCATATAAATAACTGCCAGACATGCTACTAATTTATATGGTAGTGTTGTACTTTTTTCTCTCACATTCTCTCTTTTAATATTTTCAATAGTGTTTTAGTCATGGAGCTTAGCGTTCGATATTGTTTACAGGTTTTGCTTGAGTTTTTTTCGGTTTGCCACTAATACACCGATACACTAGTACAATGGTTCCATTCCTATGCCATACCATATTATCTGATTTGAATATACGTTGATTTAAACTCGTTTTAGGAGATGATAAGTCTATTATAAAAAATGCAATGTCTAAACACTTAATACATGTAAATGTAACCTATATACGAATTTATCGTTTTGAAAAAAACAAAAAGCAACAGATATTATTTTACTGTTTATGTTTATTGTTGCTCGTTAATTAGATTACTATTCGCTGGTTTGTTTGTTAATACTTAAATCATATTAGATTTGGCTAAAACACAAAAATTATTATAAAAATACAATTTTCTTAAAACAAAAAAATAATATTATAATTAATCGGTAAAAGTAAACTCTTTAATTAAAAAAGCTGTTCATTAAAAAAAACAGTCAAAAAGGGATTACATGTGCCATAATAATAAAAAAACCCTTTTTGGAATATTTTTGTTAAGTGTTTTATTATTGTGAAATTTTACATAATGTAACTCAAAACCCACGTAAACATAAAAGATAAATATGTCTGTAAAGAAAAAAAGGAAATAATGTATAAAGTAACTACAACAGTATTAAACAGGAAATAATAGTAAACAAGTATTATATAACTCAGAACCCATGTTAACATAAAAGATAAATAAATGTAAAGGAGTGAGAAATAATTTTTAAATAACTATATAATAACAATAATATAAAGGAAATTGAATGTATGATACAATACTGTAGTACATTTTAACAATTATTTAATAACCATATCTTTATTAGTAATTTAAATGTTATACAATTTTCACAATTTTTTATTTTTGTTTAGGTAGGTTTAATGCATTCTTAAACCGGTTATCAGATAGGTATATATTTATTAATTAAACAACTTATTATGTGTATGCTTGTATCCGATTACTCCTTATGGCGGCCACAAAGTAGTTTTGAAAGACAGTTACTTTTTCGTTTTTTCTCTGGTGCATTGGGTTGTTCATTCTGTGCGGGAACATGATAGACAAATTTTTTTTAATAACAATGCTCAGCCTTAAAATGTATTGCCTACCCAAATAAAAGTAAAGTCTGGAATTTTTCAAACACATATTGACCTTAATATTTTTTTAATTTAAAATTTATTTATTTGCTATTTGTTTGAATAATAAAAGGTCTTTATAACTGGTTAATTAACCAGAAAATGTTTCAAAATCTTTTTCAAGAACCATAATCAAAACCCAAAAGTGGGCATCAATTTACATCCATGGGTAATAACAATAGAATTTTATGCAAGTTGCACTATTTTTACATCTGTTTGCGATAAAATAGTAAAATAGATTACCTTATCCTGCGCAACATCATCTTCCTTAAAAACCAAGTATTTAACATAAAATTTACATTTGTTTTAAATCAATTTCAATTTAAACATATTATACATTTATTTTTATTATTAAAAAGGCATTTCTGGGTTAAAAAAATACATTGTTATGTGAGTTGAGCTTTTTTTAGATCTAATTAAGATAAAATACTAAATATGAGTTACTTTTTTCACATTAGCACCTTCTGAGGCATCGGTGTCAGGTTGCTGTTTTGATTAAAAGAAATATATTAAATTGTGTTTATTATATAATAATAAAAACTCTTTAAAGTTGGTTAATAAAACAGAAAAATATTTCAAAATCTGTTTCAAGGACCATAACCAAAAGATAGCATCGATTTGTGTCCCTGGGTAAAAAACTCATCGTTTAAGAATGATCTACTCTAAAATGTAGTGAAACTATTGTAACAGTACTTCTGCTTACCTTTTCATAGTTCATCGGTTGGTCAATTTCCTCAACCTTGAAAACAAAGTATTAAACATAAAATTAACATTTGATGTATGGCACTTCAGTTTCTCAGAAAGTATAATCTTATTAAAAATTATTTGTTTTTCAATACGTTGAACATTTTTTGTTATTTTAAGGGATAAAGACATAAACCAAGTATTGATCTCGTTTTTTAAAAATGGAAAAACATGTCTCTAATTATTATATTGTTATGTAAATAACTTTTTTTTTTTAAATGTTAGCGTTTGAATTTTGAATTTTTTTCATCAATCTGATCGTTTGCTATCACTTTATGTTCGCACTGTCTGATAAACCGGTACCTACACTAATAGCCTGACACAACTTCTACTTATTCAAACACAATACATGTGACAGTGTTATTGATGGGTTGAATATTATTATTATTTAATGGGATACTGTTTTGCCACTATTGTGATAACTAAACGAATATTGCTCTTAAATTTAAATCTTTACATTGTCATAGCTAACGTAGAGATAAATAGTAAACAAAAATTCCAACCCAAACTATTATTTAACATTTTTTGTCTAATTTTTTATGGAATTAAAAACTTATTTTTGCATGTCGCTCTTCTTCAAGTCTATACTTCTCTAACGTTTGAGATATGAAGGTAAAAATATGTACCTAAAAGTATAGGAAAAAAATTGTTTTCAAAATATTTATATTTTCCGAGAAAATGAGTCTCTTACATCGGTGGAACATTATGTATTAGAACTGTTATTTTAAAAGTCAACTTGAAAATTGCATTAAGAAAAAAAAATAACGTGTATCTATGTAGAAAAACCCGAATCTAAATAATATACTAAGAGTCTAAAGAATAAGTTAAATATTGTTCAACTTCAGTTGTAATATAATTGATTAAGTCAAAAGTGAGTTAGAAAAAAATATTACAATTTATTATTTGAAAATTTGCAGTCATATTTTTTTTTTTTGGGAGGGGGGTGGTTTCTATTTTTAATTATATAGAAGAGAACTTTTCCAAATTTGACTCCTCCTTCCACAAAGCGCAAAAACACAATTAATAATGGTTGATATAAATCAATCCAGTAGTTTTAAAGTATGATAGAGCCAAAAAATATATTATTTATATTACAACCCAGTTTTGGTATACACATTTTCATTAAGACGACGGTGTGTAAAAAAAATCAGCCATTTTTCAGCCGAGTCTGCAACCACAAAAGAGCATTTTCATGTCTCGTTAAATAAATTAAGAGTAGTGGTGGAATTATAGATAATGATATGCTATATGAAGAAACAGTAACAAGCTAGTATATTAAGACATCAAGTTTCTGGCTAATATTGTAGTGTTTAATATCTGGCTTAATACAATTCATAGAATATTTGAGCCCTTAAACTGTTTTGAATTTATCGTTTAGTTCTAATCTGAACGTTGATCGTACAACATATCTCTTATCTCTTACCCTTATCTCCCAACACCTACCCCCTACCACTATCTCCCACCCCTATATCCCACCCATATCTTCTACCTCTATCATCAACCCCTATCTTCCATCTCTAGCTTCCACCCCTATCTCTTATCTCCTATATCTTTCCCTATCCCCTACCCACTAGCTCCCACCCCTATCTCCCCTAATGAAAATTCAAAAAAATTTAAGGGCCCAAATTCTTTATGAATTGTTTTCAGCCAGATATTAAACACTACAATATCAGCTAGAAACTTGATGTTTTAATATACTAGCTTGTTACTGCTTCTTAATATACTATACCATTATCTATAATTCCACCACTACTCCAAATTTATTCGGGACTTCAACGAGACATGAAAATGCTCTTTCGTAGTTGCAGACTCGCCTGAATAACTTTTTCAATCAATAAAGTCAAAATGTTTATTACTGTGTATTGTTTATTTTGTGTTATTTAGGCTGCGTAGAAACAGCTGTATTAAAGTATGACGCAAAAGACAATGTTTTTTAAAAACAATAAAACGACACATATTTTTAAAAAATAACACTCGTGTAAATAGAGACTTTATTTCATATGCTTACAATTTGCGAATTTATGAACAAAATGGATTGAATTTTTTTTAAATTTGTATAATTATATAGTACTTATATAATAGTTCTTATACACAATTTTACATTCCTAAACCCAACATACCGTACGAAATAGTGCTCCTTTATATCAGTTTAAGATTAAATTTGAAATATGACTTACGTTGCTGCTCATGTATAAGTTATATAACTCTGTCTTAAAAAAGAAATAAATACAAAATTAGCACATGCTTTAAATCGATTTTAATTTTGAACCTAAACAATACTTTTAAAATTCTTAAAAATATTTTCAACTTAAATATAGTAGGTGTGTAATGTACTATAGTTGTTACCTGTCGTTCCTCTGGAGGGCCAGAATAAGTTAGTTTTAAACAACAAATTATTAAACATAACACAAATATTGCTTTTGCATGCATCGTAATAATTTTAAAATTATACAAAAGTGTTTAAAAAGTCTTCGAAATTACTTCAATCAAATGTAGTATATAAAGACTGGTTTTGCTAACGCCAATTTAAAAGTGCATAAAAAGGAATTAACTTGTACCCACGAAGTAAAAACACAACCAATAAGTACGCTCTAAGACAAACAAAATGTGTTTTGCCAGGTTTGGTAAAACACATTTTGACCAACAAAAATAAAATGTGTTTTACCAAACCTAACGTTTTAGTTACGAAAATTCGTCCGTTCTTTTAATTTGTACAAAAACAAAATGAGGTCACGGCTGTACACACATGTTGGTCTAAAATGTGTATGTTGTGTATAAAATTCAAATATCTACCGATTTACACAAATTTTTTTAAACAAATTACATTTGAAATTGATATTATAACACCCGCCATATTTTAAAATACCATCACAAATTAACATTTGTTTTAAATACATTTAAATTTTTAACATAATTTTTATTTTTATTTAGTAAAAACACAATCAATCTAAAATACGCTCTAAGACCAACAAAAGCAAAAATGTGTTTTACCAAACCTATCGTTTTAGCTACGAAAATTATTCGAGAATTCGTCCGTTACCATATTAAATTTGTACAGAAATCAAAATGAGGTCACCGCTGTACACACATGTTGTTCTAAAATGTGTATGTTGTGTATAAAATTCAAATATCTACAGTCTTACACATACTTTTTGGGACAAATTGAATTTGAAATTGATATTATAACACCCGCCATATTTTACAATAACATCTAGTATAGCTTTATTACGGTTTATTAACGAGTAAAAGTTGTTTTTTACAATTATTATTGTTGCATTGTAATTAAATGATAAATAACATAATAACATTTTATATGGTTTATTGTCAATGTGACAAGGCTGCTAATTGACATTGGCTTTTTGTTCTGTCTATCTAGTACACCATAGGCGATTGTTTAATCTTTTGAGTTAAAACCCCATAGAAACCAATTATTCCACGTATATTCTGCTAGTAATCCAAACGATACATAAATAGAATACAAAATATTATTCATGATTAAGTTATGCTTGGTGGCATTGATGATGACTGAGTCATATAAATAACTGCCAGACATGCTACTAATTTATATGGTAGTGTTGTACTTTTTTCTCTCACATTCTCTCTTTTAATATTTTCAATAGTATTTTAGGAGCATGAGTCATTGAGCTTAGCGTTTGATATTGTTGACAGGTTTTACTCGAGGTTTTCTCGGTGTGCCACTAATACACTGATAGACTAGTACAATGGTTCCATGCCTAGGGCATATACATATATCCTATGTTAATAGTATAAAGCATTTTCATAGTCTATGTGTATAGTTAAAATAATGTAACAACACGTTTTTGTACAAAATGCAAAAAGGTTACTCATGTACAAATATATTGGCTAGAAAAAAACAACATGTTTTTATATTGGCTACAGTTTTAAAAAAAGCCATACCATATTATTTGATTTGAATATACGTTGATTAAAACTCGGTTTAGGAGATGATAAGTCTATTATAAAAATTGCAATGTCTAAACACTAAATAAATGTAAATGTAACCTATATACGAATTTATCGTTTTGAAAAAACCAATAAGCAACAGATATTATTTTACACATTTTGTAACAGAGATACCAAATTATTTGGTTAAATAAACTTTACATGTTTATTGTTGCTCGTTAATTAGATTACTATTCGCTGGTTTGTTTGTTAATACCCAAATTATATTAGACTTTACAAAATACAGAAATTATTATAAAAATACAAAAATCATAAAACAAAAAAATAATATTATAATTAGTCGGTATAAGTAAACTCTTTAATTGATAAAGCTGTTCATTAAAAAAAAACGTCAAAAAGGGATTACAGGTGTCATAATAATAAAAAAAACTCTTTTTGGAATATTTTTGTCAAATTTTTTATTTTTGTGAATTTTTACATAATGTAACTCAAAACCCACGTAAATATAAAAGATAAATATGTCTCATAAAACAAAAAAGAAAAAATGTATAAAGTAACTACAACAGTACTAAACAGGAATTAATAGTAAACAAGTATTATATAACTCAGAACCCATGTTAACATAAAAGATAAATAAATGTAAAGGAGTGAGAAATAATTTAAAAAAAATTATATAATAACAATAATGTAAAGGAAATTAAATATATGATACAATATTGTAGTACATTTTAACAATTATTTAATAACCATATCTTTATTAGTAATTTAAATGTTATACAATTTTCACAATTTTTAATTTTTGTTTAGGTAGGTTTTAATGCATTCTTAAACCGGTTATCAGATAGGTATATATTTATTAATTAAACAACTTATTATGTGTATGCTTGTATCCGATTACTCCTTATGGCGGCCACAAAGTAGTTTTGAAAGACAGTTACTTTTTCGTTTTTTCTCTGGTGCATTGGGTTGTTCATTCTGTGCGGGAACATGATAGACAAATTTTTTTTTAATAACAATGCTCAGCCTTAAAATGTATTGCCTACCCAAATAAAAGTAAAGTCTGGAATTTTTAAAACACATATTGACCTTAATATTTTTTTAATTTAAAATTTATTTATTTGCTATTTGTTTGAATAATAAAAGGTTTTTATAACTGGTTAATTAACCAGAAAATATTTCAAAATCTTTTTCAAGAACCATAATCAAAACCCAAAAGTGGGCATCAATTTACATCCATGGGTAATAACAATAGAATTTTATGCGAGTTGCACTATTTTTACATCTGTTTGCGATAAAATAGTAAAATAGATTACCTTATCTTGCGCAACATCATCTTCCTTAAAAACCAAGTATTTAACATAAAATTTACATTTGTTTTAAATAAATTTCAATTTAAACATAATATACATTTATTTTTATTATTAAAAGGCATTTCTGGGCTAAAAAAATACATTGTTATGTGAGTTGAGCTTTTTTTAGATCTGATTAAGATAAAATACTAAATATGAGTTACTTTTTTCACATTAGCACCTTCTGAGGCATCGGTGTCAGGTTGCTGTTTTGATTAAAAGAAATATATTAAATTGTGTTTATTATATAATAATAAAAACTCTTTAAAGTTGGTTAATAAAACAGAAAAATATTTCAAAATCTGTTTCAAGGACCATAACCAAAAGATAGCATCGATTTGTGTCCCTGGGTAAAAAACTCATCGTTTAAGAATGATCTACTCTAAAATGTAGTGTTACTATTGTAACAGTACTTCTGCTTACCTTTTCATAATTCATCGGTTGGTCAATTTCCTCAACCTTGAAAACAAAGTATTAAACATAAAATTAACATTTGATGTATGGCACTTCAGTTTCTCAGAAAGTATAATCTTATTAAAAATTATTTGTTTTTCAATACGTTGAACATTTTTTGTTATTTTAAGGGATAAAGACATAAACCAAGTATTGATCTCGTTTTTTAAAAATGGAAAAACATGTCTCTAATTATTATATTGTTATGTAGATAACTTTTTTTTTTTAAATGTTAGCGTTTGAATTTTGAATTTTTTTCATCAATCTGATCGTTTGCTATCACTTTATGTTCGCACTGTCTGATAAACCGGTACCTACACTAATAGCCTGACACAACTTCTACTTATTCAAACACAATACATGTGACAGTGTTATTGATGGGTTGAATATTATTATTATTTAATGGGATACTGTTTTGCCACTATTGGGATAACTAAACGAATATTGCTCTTAAATTTAAATCTTTACATTGTCATAGCTAACGTAGAGATAAATAGTAAACAAAAATTCCAACCCAAACTATTATTTAACATTTTTTGTCTAATTTTTTATGGAATTAAAAACTTATTTTCGCATGTCGCTCTTCTTCAAGTCTATACTTCTCTAACGTTTGAGATATGAAGGTAAAAATATGTACCTAAAAGTATAGGAAAAAAATTGTTTTCAAAATATTTATATTTTCCGAGAAAATGAGTCTCTTACATCGGTGGAACATTATGTATTAGAACTGTTATTTTAAAAGTCAACTTGAAAATTGCATTAAGAAAAAAAAATAACGTGTATCTATGTAGAAAAACCCGAATCTAAATAATATACTAAGAGTCTAAAGAATAAGTTAAATATTGTTCAACTTCAGTTGTAATATAATTGATTAAGTCAAAAGTGAGTTAGAAAAAAATATTACAATTTATTATTTGAAAATTTGCAGTCATATTTTTTTTTTTTTGGGGGGGGTGGTTTCTATTTTTAATTATATAGAAGAGAACTTTTCCAAATTTGAATCCTCCTTCCACAAAGCGCAAAAACACAATTATTAATGGTTGATATAAATCAATCCAGTAGTTTTAAAGTATGATAGAGCCAAAAAATATATTATTTATATTACAACCCAGTTTTGGTACACGCATTTTCATTAAGACGACGGTGTGTAAAAAATGTTAACATAAAAGATAAATAAATGTAAAGGAGTGAGAAATAATTTAAAAAAAATTATATAATAACAATAATGTAAAGGAAATTAAATATATGATACAATATTGTAGTACATTTTAATCATTATTTAATAACCATATCTTTGTTAGTAATTTAAAAGTTACAAAATGTTCATATTTCTTAATTTGTGTTTAGGTAGGTTTTAATGCAATCTTAAACCGGTTATTAGATAGGTATATATTTATTTATTAAACAACTTATTATGTGTATGCTTGTATCCCATCACTCTTTATGGCGGCCACAAAGAAGTTTTGAAAGACATTTATTATTTCTTACTATGGACTTCAGTTTTTGGTTGGTTATCTAATCGTTCTTCGAGCATTTGTTTTCTCTTTGCAAGACATATATTAATAACTATATTAGTAAAGTTTTAAGTTTCAAAAATTTTTAACTTTTTTAGATTATATTACTAGTTAATAACTTATAAGCCACCTAATAGTGTATAAAGTTATGAATCTACAGCCAGCATTGCCAGTTTTATCGTATAAAAACTATATACACTAAAATATATTGCCTGCCCAAATAAAAGTCTAGTCTGATAGGTTTCAAACACATTTTGACTTAGTGCATCAACTACATGTTTAATGAATATAAATTTATTGTTAGGTTCTTTTGATATGATGAACTATAAATTTCATATTTCAAAAAATATTTCTTAATATCTTTTGGCTTCTCGAATTAGTATTTATTTCATTTAAAATTTAAACTATTGATACCATTTTTGAAATTCAATAATCATTATATGTTAAAAACAATTTTATTTATTTGGCATTTGTTTAAACAAATATAAATTGTTATTGATCGTGTAAGTTTAAATTAAAGTATTCAAATTTTATTAGTGCGTCTCTGAGTTAAAACATTATAATGTGACTTGGGCTACTATTACATCTGGTTTAGATAGAAAACTAAGTATGAATTACCTCCTTCAGGTTCGCAATTTCTTCGGTAACGTTCTTAGCTGAGGTTGGAACCAACAAAGGAACTGCAAAACATTTTTAAATTAGTTCCCAATTCCAGTTGAAACAATTTAAATGAATACAACTAAATCGTACAAGGGTGGCTTTTATTTTTGATATTTTCAATTGTATAAGGTACCAAAAATCATTACAAATATGGTATAAAATACAGGTTTTCGAATTTTATGTTTAAAAGTAACTAACTACTTACGACTAATCTCATCTTCGTAACGTAATTGGGGATTGTTTTCTCGCAATATCTTATTAGCTTTTTTCGCAATCTAAAATAATTAAAAAATATTTATAAGTACCTATTTAAATAAAAATATTTTTCTTATGATATATTTTATTACCCATATTAGTGTGTTTTAAGTTTTAAGAATTATACGGTATTTTTTTATTTGATAATAATACTAGTTAATATCTTATAAACCAACTAATAGTATAATAAGTATTTTTTCTACAGTCAGCGTTGCCAATTTTTTTTTCGCTCATTTTTTAAAAATTATCTACTTTAAAATGCATTCGTAAGTTTTTGTGTGTGTAGATCTCTCCTAAAAAGAAAATAGGTTTCTTCATGTGAAAATATGTTCTATAGGTTGTGTTTGTGTGTATACTTTTGTACATTTCTTAATTGGATATTTGTAACATAAATTCAAGTTCATTGCTATTTTCAACAACAATTTAAACATCCAAATATTAGTCATGTTATAGGTTTGGTGAAAAGCAGCCATAGTTACCATAACTGTAAGCCTTAAATTAAAAAGAAGTTCTTTAAAATTATTTAACAAAAGTGAAATTATTTCAAAATCTCTTTCAAGAACCACAACTAAAAATGTGCATTGAACTGCATCTGTAAACGATAAAATGTTGATTATGGATTACCTCTTTCAAGTACGCATGATCTTCGGCAATTGTCTTTGCGTCATATTTTACTGAAACAGTTAAATGAATACAACAAAATCGTGTACCAATCGTTGCGTTCTAGTGCGGTTTTTCATAGCGATATTTTGATTTGTTTTAGGTATCACAAATCAATATAAATATGGTATAAAAAAAAGGTTTTTTTAGAAATTAGTGCTTAAGCTTATTACTTACCACGGACATCAGTCTTCGGGTCAAAACCTCGTCTGCGATTCCACATTCGTAAACGCCTATTACTAATTTCTCCAGTCTAAAATAATATTAAGCTATTTATAAGTATTCAAATAAAAACATTTTCCTAGTGAAATATTTTATTACCTATATTAGTGGTGATTTAAGTTTTTAGAATTTTTAGTAAATAATATTTGTTATAAACCAACTAATAGTAGGTATGTATTTTTTTTTCTACAGTCGGCGCTGTCAGTTTTTATCGTTTAAGAATGGTCAACTCAAAAATGTAGTGTTACTATTGTAATAGTACATCTGTTACGATAAAATACTAAATATGGATTACCTTTTCAATGTACAATTTTGAATTGACCTTAAAACAAAGTATTAAACATAAATTTAAAATTATATTAAGTTCATTAAAATTTTAACAGTTTTTTTTTCTAATTTATAAATGTTTTAAAATAAAATGTGAGTTGCACTATTTTTTCATCTGTTTAAGATCAAAATATATATTACTTTTTTCAGTTCGTCGAGTTCCTTTAACTTGAAAACAAAGTATTTAACATAAAATTAACATTTGTTTTAAATCCATTTAAATTTTTAACATAATTATAATTTTTATTTTACATAGTATAAATGTTTACAACTAAATTGTAGTGAGCATGCAACTACGTTACACTTTTTAAGAAAGTGTTTATTATAAAAATAAACTTTTAAACATTACATAAAAACTGGTTTTGCATGAATAATCGTTTTTAAATTATTCAAAAGTTTTAAAAGTATTAAAATTTCTAAAACTAAATTGTTCTAACTAAATTTTAAGTAAAATGTAGTATAAACCCTGGTAGATGATCCATCAATAGGTACAATTTCTAGGTTTGGTATGACTAATTTTTTTTTATTTCTAATAATAGCTATGGCATAATGTTTTTTGAAAACAACAAAATGATACATCTCCCACCCCTAGCTTCCACCCCTACCTCTTATCTCCTATATCATTCCCTATCCCCTACCCACTAGCTCCCACCCCTATCTCCCCTAATGAAAATTAAAAATAGTTTAAGGGCCCAAATTCTTTATAAATTGTTTTCAGCCAGATATTAAACACTACAATATTAGCTATAATATTGATGTTTTAATATACTAGCTTGTTACTGCTTCTTAATATACTATATCGTTATCTATAATTCCACCACTACTCTAAATTTATTCAGTACTTCAACGTGACATAAAAATGCTCTTTCGTGGTTGCAGACTCGGCTGAATAACTTTTTCAATCAATAAAGTCAAAATGTTTATGACTGTTTAATGTTTATTTTGTGTTATTTAGGCTGCGTAGAAACAGTTGTATTAAAGTATGACGCGAAAGACAACGTTTTTTAAAAAAAATAAAACGACACATATTTTTAAAAAATAACACTCGTGTAAATAGGAATTTTATTTCATATGTTCACAATATTGTGAATTTATTAAAAAAAGGGATTGAATTTTTTTTTAATTCGTATAGTTATATTGTACTCATATAATAGTTCTTATACACAGTTTTACATTCCTAAGCCCAACAAACCGTACGAAATAGTGCCATTTTATATCAGTTTAAGATTACATTTGAAATATTACTTACCTCGTCCATGAATACTTTATGTAACGCTGTCTTAAAAAAGAAATAAATACAAAATTAGCACATGCTTTAAATCGATTTTAATTTTGAACATAAGCATTAATTTTTAAATTCTTAAAAATGCATTTAATCTCGATTACCTGCTGTGAGACTTTTAATTCAGAATGTGTTTGTTTTAAACAACAAATTATTAAACATAACACAAATATTGCTTTTGCGTGCATCGTAATAATTTTTAAATTACTCAAAAGTGTTTAAAACAGTCTTCGAAATTATTTCAATTAAATGTAGTATATGAAGACTGGTTTTATTACGGCCAATTTAAAAGTGCATAAAAAGGAATTAAAATCTACCCACGAAGTAAAAACACAATCAATCTAAGATACGCTCTAAGACTAACAAAAGCAAAAATGTGTTTTACCAAACCTATCGTTTTAGGTACGAAAATTGTTCGAGAATTCGTCCGTTACCATATTAAATTTGTAAAGAAATCAAAATGAGGTCACCGCTGTACACACATGTTGTTCTAAAATGTGTATGTTGTGTATAAAATTCAAATATCTACAGTCTTACACATACTTTTTGGGACAAATTGAATTTGAAATTGATATTATAACACCCGCCATATTTTAGAATAACATCTAGTATAGCTTTATTACGGTTTATTACCGAGTAAAAGTTGTTTTTTACAATTATTATTGTTGCAATGTAATTAAATGATAAATAACATAATACAATTTTATATGGTTTATTGTCAATATGGCAAGGCTGCTTATTGACATTGGCTTTTTGTTCTGCCTATCTAGTACACCATAGGCGATTGTTTAATCTTTTGAGTTAAAACCCTATAGAAACCAATTATTCCACGTATATTCTGCTAGTAATCCAAACGATACATAAAAAGAATACAAAATATTATTCATGATTAACTTATGCTTGGGGACATTGATTATGACTGATTGTGAGTCATATAAATAACTGCCAGACATATTACATGTTATATGGTAGTGTTGTACTTTTTTCTCTCACATTCTCTCTTTTAATATTTTCAATAGTAATTTAGAAGCACTATTCATTGAGATTAGCGTTTGATATTGTTTACAGGTTTTACTCGAGGTTTTCTCGGTGTGCCACTAATACACTGATAGACTAGTACAATGGTTCCATTCCTAAGGCATATACATATATCCTATGTCATTAGTAAAAAGCGTTTATACTATAAAAAAACAACGTCAAAAAGGAATTACAGGTGTCATAATAAAAAAAAAACTCTTTTTGGTATATTTTATTAAATTTTTTATTTTTGGGAAATTTTACATGGGTAATGTGACTCAAAACTCAAATGTAAAAATAAAAGATAAATATGTAAAGAAGTAAGATATAAAATATTTAAATAATAATATAATAGCAATGATATGAAGGAAATTAAATATAAGATACAATAAAAATATTGCTTGAAAGAAAATAATTTTTTTTAAATTCTATTACATTTTAATCATTATTTAATAACCATATCTTTATTAGTAATTAATATGTTATACAATTTTCACATTTCTTAATTTGTGTTTTGGTAGCTTTTCATACAATCTTAAAACAGTTATCAGATAGGTGTATATTTAATTAACAAAACAAAGTTGTGTATGCCTGTATCCGATCACTCCTTATTGTGGTCCTTCTTGTGCACATGAAATAGGCTCGAAATTTTATTTCTTATTTTTTTTTTCACTGGTGCATTGAGTTGTTCATTTTTTGCAGCAACAGGCTGGACAAATATATTTTTAATAAAAATGATTAGTCTTTAAATGTATAGCCTACCCAAATAAAAGACAAGTCTGGAATTTTTATAACACATATTAACATTAATATTTTTGTATTATCTGTTGTGGTTAAATAAAATATATAAAATTGTGTTTATTATATAATAATAAAAGCTCTGTAAAAATGGCTAATAAAACTGAAAAATATTTCAAAATTTGTTACAATGACCATAACCAAAAGATAGCATCGATTGTATCCCTGGGTAAAAACTATACATTGTTAAGCCAGTTGCGCTATTTTTACATTTGATTGTGATAGTAAAATAAATGGATTACCTTTTCCTGGCACGCATCATTATCTTTCTTAAAAATCAAGTATTAAACATAAAATTAACACTTTCCTTAAATCCGTTTTAGCTTTAGACATATACTTTTTTTGTAATTATTAAAAATGCATCGCTGGGTTAATACAATAAATTGTTATTTAAATTTCGCTTATTTTAGATCTGATTATAATAATATACTAAAATATATGAGTTACCTTTTTCAGGTTGGCTTCATTTGTAGCAGTGGTGTCAGCTGAGACTGGGGCCAATGGTTGACCTGTATAACGGTTTTAATTAGATCCGAATTACAGTTAAAACAATTGTAATGAATACAACAAAAGCTTGTACCATTTGTAGAGTGTAAATATGGATTTTCATTTTGATATTTTCAATTGTGTTAAGTATCACAAATCAATATAAATATGTTATATGTATAACAGTTTTTTTTGAAATATAAGTTTAAATGTAACTTATAACTTACTTGTCTGTGAAAGATCATCTGTTACGGATTTGTGGATAAGATCTTGGCCGTTAACATGTACGTCTTTCTAAAATGACAGACGAAAATAAAAAAACATTTAGACGTATTTAAATAAAAATACTTTTTTTACGACAGAATTTATACCTATATCAGTAACGTTTTAAATTTCAAGAATTTTACCCTATTAGATTATAACACTAGTCAATGACTTATAAGCCAACTAACTAATAGTGTTTATAGTTATCAATCTACAGCCAGCGTTGCCAGATATTATAGTTTATTATTTAAAAACGATGCACTATAATATGTATTGCCTACATAAATTATGTTATTTGCGCTACCATTACATGTGGTTTTGATAAAACACTAAAGTAGAATTACCTCATTCTGGTTTGCATCGTTTTCGGAAATATTTACCTTCGCATTATCATATCTTAAGGATTCGTGGATACGGTCGACACTCTTAACATTTTCATCTTTCTAAAACGATATTAAAGTAATATTAGGAAGTATAAAAAAAAAATACTTTTTCTCATAACATAATTTATACCTATATTAGTTTCAAGAATTTTACCCTATTATACTAGTTCATGACTTTTAAAATAAAAAACTTAAAAGCCAACTAATAGTGTATATAGTTATTAATCTACAGCCAGCGTTGCCAGTTTTTATCGCTCATAATTTAAAAATTATCTTGTCTAAAATATATCGCCTTCCCAAAAAAAAGTCGAGTCTGAAAGATTTAAAAAGATTAGGAGATTCCAGTGGGCTGGTCACTATAACCTAACCTAGCGTAGTTAGAACCCATTATTGCACATGGTATTGGCAGAGAACTCAGAAGGGAAAAGACCTCTTGGATTACCCCGTTTAAGATGGGAAGACTTAGAATCACTGAATGATGGTCCAGATTGGAAAACAAAATCAGCTAACAGAAAAACTTGGAGGATCGGTTGATTGACGAAATGGGCTTAATGGCCGTTAATACTCAAGAAGAAGAAAGAGAAAGATTTAAAACACATATTGACATATAATGTTAAAATCAGCTTTACTAATCATTACTGTCAGCCATAAGTTAATAAAAAGAGCCTTTAGAGTTAGTTATGAAAACGAAAAATATTTCAAAAAATCTGTATAAAAAACTTTAACGAAAGCCAAACAAGTGCATTGTTTTTTAGTCCTAGGGCAATCTACTTAAGATAAAATACTGTTTATAAATTACCTTTTTAACGTCCATACCTTCATAATACTTTAAAACATAGTATTAAACATAAAATTAACACTATTGACATATATCCATTTATTTTTAACACAATAAACTTTATACATTAAAGCAACATTTAATTTATATCAATTAGTAATTATTGTTTAAAATATATATTAATTAATAATGATTGATAAATTGTATTTTATATTATTATATTAAATTAAAATAATGGTTTGTATTCTTTCAAATAACCTGTAACATTTCCGTTGGTTCTACTTTTTTGTTGTCGGCCATTATCCACGATACTTTGGCAGCAAACTAAAAACAATATGTGTTTAATTAAATACTACATTTTTTTGATAATGCATTTATTATATCACATCAAATTTCAGTCCATATTTATTTATAACAATAACTCGAGCATCCAAATACTCGTTAGGTTATATGTAAGTTTAGGATTAGTAAAAAGTTAGTGTTACTGTTTTGTTTTGTAGGAAAACAGCTTATATATACTTTACGACCAGACCTTTATTGATATAAATTCTTTACAGTAGGTGACTAAAAAAGAAAATATTTCAAAATCTGTTCCAAGAATTATAACTAAAAGCCAAAAATGTTCATCAAATTGCATCTATGATTTAAAACAACACGTAATTTTGTGAGTTGTGCTATTTTTACATCTGTTTAAGATTAAATACTAAATATGAATTACCTTTATTACGTACAATTCATCTTCTGCCTTTAATTTCGCATTATCGCCTTCTATCGGAATACCTGTGAAATGTTTCAATATTAGTTCCGAAATACAGTTAAACAATTTTAATGAATACAAAAAAATCTTGTATTAGTCGTTGGGTAAGTGCAGTTTTTCTTTTTGATATTTTTAATTGTTTTAGGTAACACAAATCAATATAAATATGGTATAAACAATTGTTTTTTCTCGAAATTATTGTTTAAACTTGTTACTTACTACGGATTTTAATCATTGGTTACATACCTTTTTCGCGTTTCTGGACTCGCTCCATCTTTGCCAAATTGTCCTTTGCCTAAGTTATTATTAAAAATGTACAATTAATTAAAAAATGTAATACATCATCAGTAGAGTTTTAAGTTTTAAATATTGTGCACTATTACATTATGATACAAGTACCTAATTGTTTTTATGCTAACTAATTGTGTATATAGATATTTATCTACAGCCAGTGTTGCCAGTTGTTATTGCTCAATATATAAAAATGATGTCTAAAATGTATTGCCTACCCAAAAAAAACATTACAATCATTTTTGATTAGTTTGGGTACAAGTCATAAGTTAATATAACGTTTTTAAAGTGTTCATTAAATTTTCGAGCATTTAAGTATTAGTAACGTTATAGCGAAGCTTAGGTTTGGTAAAAAATTAGTAGTTCAATTTTTTGTTTTGTTTTGTAGGAATCCGGCTTAAATAACCGTTACAGTTAGCCGCAAATTATAAAAGGTCTTTTAACATATGTTTGCGATAAAATACTAAACATGGTTTACCTTTTCTGTGCACACACCACAATTGCCCTAAAAAACAATGTTTAAAACACAAAATTAACACTTGTTAAATCTATTTTAATTTTATCCTAATTTATTAAAACAATTTTTTATTAAAAAAATATATTATTACGTGAGTTGCGCTACTTTTACAACTGTTAAATACAAAATTATAAATATAGATTACCTTATTCCGGTGCTCACACTCCTTCCTCTTAAAAACAAAGTATTAAACATAAAATTAATACTTTTTTTTATAACCATTTTATTTTTTAACATATTAGTATATATATATATATTTTTAATTATTAATAATTTTTTCAACTGAAATAGTTTGTTTTAAAAACCAAACTTTCAAAAATTAAACAAAAACTGGTTTTTTAAGCATAATAGTTTTGAAACTATTCAAAATTGTATAAAAAGTGTAAGGAAATAGGGTTGGGATTAAAAATGTGGATAGTGATAGGGTTGGGGGTAGGAATGGTGATGTGGTAAGTGGTGGGGATGTTCAATTTTTTAAATTTTGTGTTGTATTTACAACGGTCAAACTATAATTGAAAAATAAATTAAATAATTTTTCAGTTCATATTCATTCCCTATGAATTATTTTAGGCCAGATATTATGTAAACACTAAAATATTATCAAGAAATTTGATATTTTTATTATCCACCTTAGATACTATCTTGTTACTACTTGTTTATATACTATTTAATAACTATAACTCCACTACTACTCTATATTTATTCGGCACTTCAACGAGACATGAAAAAGCTCTTTCGTAGTGGCAGACTCGGCTGAAAAATGTTTTTATTCATTTAATGCTTATTATTTCAAAATTATTAAGCATTAAACAAATTTTAACTTTTATAAATTTGTAAATACTGTTTAAAAATTCGAGCATCAATTCAATAACCATTACTGCCAGGGTTACAAATAACCCTTAAGAGGACGTCGCAGGTAAAGTGTTACACGTATTCAACTTCCGAGAGATGGCGTTATTGTCCGTCTCGGCGGGGCGGCGACGGTTTATAGTCACGCCCATACGAGTGCTGCGGCGGCGCGTTGTAGTATTATCAGAGCGGCACATTATTCTATCACCGACTGCTGATCTAGTAAAAACTAATATTATGCTGGCAACGTATTTGCTCGCCGCGCGTGTTACAATCTCGAGTAAATCTTTTTCATAGCTACTGTTCATTAACATTTATATAACAATGGACAGAGTAGAAAATACAGTACCCATCATAGTTTGAATTATTCTGATAACCCAATTACTTTTTTTTAGCGTATAAATAATTTTCTCAGATATCAGAATAAACTTGGTACCTCGTATAGCGTACTTACTTATTAACATTTATATTGGAGCATACTTATTTTGCATGTCTGTTACAATAAAATACGTGTTTCCAAATTTGCTTAGCCTATATTAGCCATGGTCGTAATGAATATTTCGGTTTTTTTTCTTTTTTACTGTTTTTTTTTTTTTTATAGTATTATAGGTCACCAAACAAAATCAGTATTTTATGTAAAACATTTCAGCTTTCTGATAATTTATTTATAAATCCAAAATTAATAATTGAAAACATGTTTATAAAAATTCATCATTAGAATAATAATTGTATAATGGTACGAGTATCCGTTATAAACTTTAAGTGCTGGACGGGTCATATATAATATTCTATGATTTATTTCATTAAATAATAATTATACATAAATCTAATACTATTTCATAAAAAAACAATGTGTACATATGTCAATTTTGTATTATAATTTTTATCTATAGAACACACAACACAATAGGAAAAATAAAAATGTGGCTTCTCTGTGCAACAAAAATACAGTATTTCCCAAGTAAAGTCATATTTCTACAATATTTACAAATAATATAATTAGGTTAACTTAGTTTATCTGTTGTTATGCCGAAAATTATGGTGGTCACCGCCGACATTATTGCGGAATTTAGCTTTGATATAAAAAAAAAAATAGAATACGAAGAATATATCATAATTGAAATATATTGTGAGTAAAACTCTTTAATTTATAAATTGTAATTATATAGAAAAAAAATTATAGTATAAATGAAGAGTTAATTTGTCAAATTTTCCAAGTGCTAAAGTATAAAAATTGAACTTTATAATTTGATTTGTGTTTTATTCACTAGCGGATACATTACATATTTTTGAATTTTAAATATAATTGTTTTTTTTAATAAATAACTATTCCTTACTTGAAAATATACATAATTCTTTCCGGTAATGGATAAAATACAATTTAAATTATAAAGTTCAATTTTTATACTTTGGCACTTAGAACGTTTGACAACTTCATTTTTCAAATATTTATGTTAGATAAATACGTTTTTAGTGGTCGGCATTGAATGAGGGGGGATGACTTAGATTGAGAGTGATAAACCGTCTATATGAAAAATAAGAATATAGAAATTACGGACACCAAAAGAAATGGAGACCCCCCCAAAAATCAAAATGTTGTTTAAAATACGCTACTGATTTTTAGGTTTTGCTGCAACTAATAATTGACTGTTGATTAATTTACACATAGCAACTTAAAAATTTCCAATTTTGGTCTGAGGAGGGGAGGGGGCCCCACACTAATTTTGGTCTGGGGTGTAAACATTGTATTAAAACGTTTCGGTTTTTCGGAGAGGTATTTGAATATTTTTCCGATTTTTTTTACAGTGTGCAATAAACCCCCCCTCCCCCCGTTCCCTAAACCATTTTTTAAATCACAATTTTTACAAATTATAAATTACTACACCTGCTACCTTTTTCATACAAGCGACTTAGCGACTGGCTTAGCTTATTCAGCTAATTCTCTATAAAATAATGAACATAAAATAGCAAATATTAAATAACAGTATCGCTGTGCAAGTAAAATATAATATTTGTTTGTTATTGAGAATTGATTGTTAAAAATTGGGTCATCTGTTTTTACTTCAGGTAATAATATAATTGCGGTGTCACCGTTGACGACTGACGTTATCGCTGTCGCGCGCTACGGCAGTCGGCCCAAAACCGGTTTTCCGAATGTATAAAGATATGTAGTAAAGTGGCCGCTAGGCGCGCCAGCTCTCGACGTAATAATTATTATGAAAATTCAAAAAACATCCCTTCGCACTTCAAATAGTACTCATACGCTTTTGGCGGTAGAAAATTGTTTACAGTACCATATGAAAGATCAGAACTTTTTCTATGTGCCTATAGAGAGTTTTTTTCGATAACTTTATTTACAATGGTTTTATGAACGTTTGAAAAAAGTAAAAATTCTTATTGAAATAACTATAAGTAAACAATTTGTTTTTGGAAATATGGCTCTATACGCACATAGTAGACATTCCAGGCTTTCTTTAGGTATCCTTAGATTTATTCTACGATTAATAGTTTCTGAGTACTATTTGAAGTCCGAAGCGGTGTTTTAGTACTCGAAATATTTGACTGCGACATCCTCTTAATGAATAAAAACAGAAAATATCAACAACCAGATACATTTATTATAGATTGACAGACTTGCTGATCATATAAAGGCAATCCAACGGTATTTTTAATTTGAAATTGATTTTATCCGAGAGGCCTAGTACAGTAGAATCTATATTCTACTATATTTTTCATCATGCCTATGCACAAGTGATAAAATTTAATAAAATAACTTTCAAATAAACGCTTTGATGCTTATTTGTAAATACAAAACCTCAGTTAAAACTTTCTAACTTTGCTGGTTTATACTTGCTTGGTTTGGACTGTACTGGCTTGAAAATACTAACTACTGATTTGCATCTAAGCGTTTTTTCGAAAGTGATTTTATCACTTTCAGATTTAAAAATTCCTGTAAACCTGTGACCTTCCCGTCCCCACTATGCCCCGACCCAACTATGCTCTGTCCCCTCTATGCCCCGGCCCCACTGTACTGTTTTTTTTTATCTTTTATTTAACTTATGACTAAAGCAAAAATAACCGATCACGTAAAGTATAGGTACGCAATTTAGCAAGTGTTATTTAGGCTGTGTAGAATCAGCCTTATTAAAGTATGACGCAAATTACAATGTTTTTTGAAAACAACAAAGGGATACATGTACTTAAAAAATAAAACACTCATCTAAATAGGAATTTTATTTATATGCTTACAATATTATGAATTTATTAAAAAAAAATGGATCGATTTTATTTTTAATTTGTACATAATAGTCCATATACAACATTTTAAGTTTCTAAATTTAAAATATCTTACAAAATCCAATATCATATAGTTATTAATTTATTGTTTATTTCAAAATTATTAAGCATTAAACACATTTTAATTTTCATAAATTTGTAATAACTGTTTAAAAATTCGTGCACCAATTAAATAACAATTTTTGCCAGCCCTTAATTAATGAAAAATACTTAAAGTTGTTTAATTAAACAGAAATAAAATTTAAATTCTCTTTCAAAAACCATAGTTAAAGGCTAAAAATGTGCTATTTTAAGGACCACCCTAATAGTTATACATTTTACTATATTTTTCAATACGTTGAATATTTTAACCTTTTTTTTTTTTAATGGGAATATATCTTTATTATTTCATTAATATGTAGAAAAAAATGTAAAAACTATTTTAGCATTTCGATTTTTAAATGTCAACAATCTGTTCGTTTGCTATAACTTCATATTTGCTTTGTTCCAAAAGTGAGTACACTATATACCTACAACTGTACAACCTAACCTAACCCCCTCCTCCTTTCCTAAATCGCAGACCAGACACATTTATTAATGATTAACGGACTTGCCGATCATGTAAAGGCAATCCAACGGTATTAAATTTTGATAAAGACGGAAAAAAATATATGCCTCTATCTAGTAATGTGTAGTCTTTAACGAAACAACATGTTTGTACAGGTAACCACATTTTTTCTAACTCTACATTGTATCCATGTTAAGCACACAAAGAACCGGTATGCACACGCGTTGTTATTTTTCAATAAATAAGTTAAATAGTTATTTTACTGTGTGTTGTTTATTTTATGTTTTTAAATATTTAAAACTATTTCGTGGTAAAGAACAATGTACATTGGACATACTTAATTTGGTATTTAGAAATACACATATAGGCATCTTTTATCGAGACCATATTTTTCTTTATCTTTTATTTAACTTATGACTAAAGCAAATATAACCGATCACGTAAAATATACGCAATTTAGCAAGTGTTAATTAGGCTGTGTAGAATCAGTTTTATTAAAGTATGACGAAAATTACAATGTTTTTTGAAAACAACAAAGGGATACATGTACTTAAAAAATAAAACACTCATCTAAATAGGAATTTTATTTCATATGCTTACAATATTGTGAATTTATTGAAAAAATGGAATGATTTTTTTTTGAAATTTGTATATAATAATCCGTATACAAAATTTTAAGTTTCTTAACCCAAAATATCTTACAAAATCCAACATCATATAGTTATTCAACTATTGTTTATTTCAAAACTATTAAGCATTAAACACATTTAAATTTTCATAAATTTGTTATTACTGTTTAATAATTTGAGCATCAATTAAATAACAATTGCTATTAGCCCTTAATTAATGAAAAATACTTAAAGTTGTTTAATAAAAAAGAAAATATTTCAAAATCTCTTTCAAAAACCATAATTAAAAGCTAAAAATGTGCATCAACTTGTAGTTTTGTGTTAAAACAATACACTATCATAAAATTTGCACTACTTTTACATTTAATTAAGAAAAAATACAAAGAATGAATTACCTCTTCCGCGAGTACTTCTCCTAAAGCTACCTTTAAAAAAAAGTATTTAACGTATCATGTACATTTTTTTTTAAATTATTAAACATATATTCTACTACAACTAAAATGTGTTAAGTATTTTTTTAGCGACACACTTTTTATTAATACGAGTATTTTAGTAAATTTTAAAAAATTACTTAAATTTAGATTACCTGACTAAGCTTTGACATAATATCAGAAACTGTTAGTTTTAAAAAACAAATTACTAAATATAACACAAAAACTCGTTTTGCATGCATTGTAATCATTTTTAATTTATTAAAAAGTCTTAAAAATTATTTCAATTAAATATAGTATACAAATACTGACTTTATAACACTAATTTTAAAAGTGTTCGAAATAAAATAACGTATGAAATGTTCAAAACAAAACGGTTGGGTTAGGTAAACACATTTTGTTTTTGTTGTCTTAAAGCATATTTTTTAGATTCTGTATTTACTTCATGGATACCGAAAGGTTAGTATTGTAATGCTTCTTATTAAATTAGTACAAATATCAAAATAAGGTCACAGTTAAACATGATGTAGTTCTAAAATGTGTATGTTGTGTATAAAATTTTAAATATCTAAAATTTTAAAAAATATTTGGTATGGGCAATCGAGAAACATTTACAAAAAACTATAATAAAATATTGACTCAAAAACATAATGAATCCTACAAGAATTTCCCACATAAAAAGTAATTATTTTACTTCAAGTATTCTTTCCATTTTTTAATCACACAAATGTTTTGCGTTACAACATTTTCATCTTAGATTATTAGTAGGGTTGTGGCGGATGCAGGCAAAAGGTTGCCCGGCCGGTGTCCGAAGACGTTGGTCGGTAGTTGTCGTGTGCGTATTTATATGTGCGCTCTGGGTGACTTTGATCACATGCGAGAAGTTCGCTACGGTTCGTCACAACTACCGAGATCTGGCGATCTGACCATGTGTTGAGGCGGTATCGATGCCGACAGCTAGGTTGCGCTAGCTGTGGCGCCTCGTGGCCATACATCCGCTACAGTGCTGTATGTGGGCCGCCACAGGGTGTTTTGTCCACAGATTATCAGTTATACGTGTGGCAGTACTGATAAGAATTTATTGATAAGAGAGGCTTACCTGTGGTATTGATGAGGAAAGTTTATTAGTGATAACCTTCGGTGATAGTGATAACGAATGTACTGACAATACAATGAGCGTATTTTCACGAAGGTAACGAAAGCATACCGTTTGCTGATAACTGTTTTGGCGATGTTTTAATGTTAAAACTGTTAACTGTTTAATAAAATGTTTGCTCTCATCAGTAAACTACATTTCCAGGCTCCAGCATTTTTAATGTTTGATACTTATATTTATGTAAAATCTGTTTTGCGGTAAACAAACAATCTTTATCAATTTAAAGTATGAGTACATATCAGTTAAAATGTTTGCCTTTGAAACCACAGATATATATTACAATATACTGAGTGGCCCATAATGATTTGACAAATTAAATAACTTTAATTTTAGTGAATATTTTTAAGATTTTTTTTTTAAATTGATTCATATTCATTTGCGCTATAATCATCAAGTTTGTTATTTCACTTAAGTGATTTACTTTTTAAAACATTTTTTTTTTAAATTTATTTTATTGACATTTGTTTAAAAATGTATTAAGCTGTATTTATTACGTCATATTTTTATGTTTAACCATAATTTAATAATATAACTTGCTTTCATGTATTCCAATTAAATTACAAATATATTTTATATATAAAAAACACGAAGTTATTAAACATTGTTTAATTAGTATGCATTTTCATGAGTATCGGAATGAAAGATCTATGTATAAATTATATATAAAACTAAAAAGTATTTGATAAAGGTTTTTACTTTTTATTGACTTAGAACTAATTATTAAAAACTCAGAAGCAGAGGGTTAGAGTTAGATAAATACCGATATAAAAGTCCAAAAAAAAGTATATTTTTAGGTAATTGGCGAATGTGTATATTTTCGACCCATTTAGCTTATGCCATATCCCATAAGCCACCTATATAAATTGAATTTTTTATCTGATTAGTTATTTCTATTTTTATTACCTATATATATATATATATAAATGAATGTATGTGTGTGTGTCCCTCACAATTTTCATCAGAGTTTGTAGAAAAACAGCATTATATATTTATTTTGTATCAATATGTATTAGGTAGAATCATAAAATATAAATGTATATCCAAATTATAAAAAATTATTAGCATGTATTGGCCCGTAATACTTTATAATATTAGTGGGGCGCGATAAAACATTAATATGTACTACTAAGTCATCCTCAAGTCTCAACAATGTGTATCAGGCGAGCCAAAAAGTGTTCATTGTTCGCTATAGCAAAATCCCAACCAAGTCAATTATTAAGGTGGTGAAATTTCGTTTCACCCATACTATCGATTTAAAAAAATAAAAATCGAAAAAAGGGTGCCCGGTAAAGTACCACAATTAAATGTTCAAATTAAAAATCTTTAAGCCAAGTGGAAATAATTTAGTAAACATTTTTTATCGATTTGATTATAATAATTTAGTATTTTCCTTAAATAATGTAGAATTGTTTCTAACTTTAATATTAAAATAACTTATATAAAATCCGTTGTGTTTATAGTATGTACACTATTGGTTTTTATTCAAAAAACGATTAATATTATATGTTTATTACTGCTAACCTAATAGTATTGATAAGGAAGGTTTTTCAGTGATAACCTTCGGTGGTAGTGATAACGAATGTACTGATAAGAGTGTCTTATCAGTGACAATACAATGAGCGTATTTTTACAAAGGTAACGAAGGCATACCGATTGCTGATAACCGTTTTTGCGATGTTTTAATGTCAAAACTGTTAACTGTTTAAGGAAAATGTTGGCTCTCATCAGTAAACTGCTTTTCCAGCAGTTTGTAATGTTCGGTACTTATATTTACGCAAAATCATTTTTGCATAAGCAAACAACCTTTGTCTATCTAAACAATATCAGTATATGGTTGCTTTCGGTACCACAGATACATACTACAATATACTGAGTGGCTCATAATGATTTGACTAATGAAATAACTTTTGTTTTAGTGAATATTTTTAAGATTTCTTTTAAAATTACTTGCTTTACTTTTTAAGTCATTTTTTTTGTTAACCTTGTTTTTTTTAAAGAAGAAGAAGCCATATTATTTAGTATAGTTTTTAATAAATAATTAGTGTAAGCAAATTGTATTTTTGTTCATACGTAAAAAAGTTATATTCATTTGAAAATTATGAACATTTGATGTGTTACAATTTGTGCTTTTTCCGTATAATTCTCAGTTAAAGTTTTTATGTCATCACTTATGTCACTATGTCCAAATTTAATAATTTAATTTTAATTTTTAGTGTGTAATTTTCCTAAATAAATAATTTATGAAAAAAACACTGGTACACATTAAACAACTTATTTATTTTATAAACGAGTATATATAACAAACGTGTTCTAAGTCCTCCTACTCATTAAAGAGACTTTCATAATATTCTGTATCTGATATTGGCTCTAAAGATTTGTTATTTGTTAAAAAAGGATTACAGTTGTCATATTTAGGAAACAAAAACATTTTTTGGAATACTTTTGTTATTTAATTTTTGTGAATTTTTACATAATTTAACTCAAATGTACAAATTGTAATAAATGTACAATGTACAAAACCCAAATGTAGACATAAAAGATGAATATGCAAAGAAGTAATATATAATATTTAAATAATTATAATAACAATAATATTAAGGAAATTAAATATATGAAACAATAAAAATATTGCTTAAAAGAAAATAATTTCTTTTTTTTAATTCTATTACATTTTAATCATTGTTTAATAACCATAACTTTATTAATCATTTGAATATTATCCTCCAAAACATAAGATAACAATTCAAAATTATACTAATTAGTTTAACTCAATTCATAACAATTGCATTATAGGCGGTGACTTCAATGCAAAACACCATTCCTGGGGTTGCCGTGCAAACAACCCGCGTGGTCAGGTTCTTCACAATTTTGTAACTAGAGGAAATCTAAAAGTTCTTGCTCCACCAGGTCCAACTTATTGGCCGACCTCATCTCGTAAAAACCCAGATATTCTAGATATTTTCATTACAAAAATCCCAAACAACATTCACTGCACTACGGAGAATATACTCGAGTTAAATTCTGACCATTCCTCAGTACTGCTAACTCTTAAGGGCTCTTTACCAACGAACCCGTCTGCCTTCACACAAGCAAAAATACAATAAACTTGCCAACCATCTAAAAAAATTGTTAGCTAAATTCAAAACAAAATCTCTTGAAAGCTTTCTAACTAATCTCTCAAATGATGGTAGTCTTTGGAAAGCAACAAAAAATGCGTGCAAAACTAAAACCCCAAACGTCCCAATAAAAAAAAACGATGGTAGCTTTGCTATATCTGATACAGATAAAGCCGAACTGTTCAAACTCCATCTATCTGAAATTTTTCAGCCTCACCCTGATATTGCCTCTCCTAATAACATCAATTCTGTGGAAGAGTTTCTAAACTCCCACTACCAGTAGCTCACCCTGTCAAACACTTCACTCCGAATGAAGTTAAATATGCTATTGATAAATACCCTCTCAAAAAATCTCCCGGGTTTGATCATATTACTGCTGAAGTTGCCAGATGCCTGCCAAAAAAAGCGATCATCCACCTCACGCATTTATTTAACTCTGTTCTCAGGCTCTCATATTTTCCTACCCTCTGGAAATTCTCGATTATTATTCTTGTTCCAAAGCCCAATAAACTTCCTGACTCCATCTCCTCTTACAGACCCATTAGTCTGTTACCTTTTTTCGCCAAAATCCTCGAAAGACTTTTACTTAAACGAATTCTACCATGCCTAACTATAAATTCCATTCTTCCCAACTCGCAGTTTGGATTTCGATCTACTCACTCAACAATCCATCAAGTTCATAGAGTTGTAGATGCAATTTCTTATGCATTAGAAAAAAAATTATATTGCACTTGCGTTTTTCTAGATATTTCTCAAGCATTTGATAGGGTCTGGCACCACGGGCTCCTTTTCAAATTGAAAAAATTTTTACATCCAGTATACTTCCTGATCATTAAATCATATCTCTCTGACAGATATTTCAGTACTCGTTTCGGTGAAACCCTCTCCAGTATAGCTAAAATCTCGGCAGGTGTTCCGCAAGGTGGAATTCTTTCGCCTGTGCTCTACAACATCTACGCCTCTGATCAACCAACCTCCCCGAATACGCTAGTCGCCGACTATGCCGACGACAAAGCTATAATCTCAGTAAATAATGACCCGGTTATTGCTTCCCGCCATCTTCAAAATCACCTCTCCCTCATGGAAGAATGGTACACCAACTGGCGGTTGAAAATAAACCAGTCAAAATCCGTGCATTGCACTTTTACCCTTAGACCTACTCTCTGCCCAGCTGTCTCCATTCATGGTATCTCTATTCCAAACCATCAAACAGTTAAATATCTTGGACTAACTCTAGATCGTAGATTAACCTGGGCCCACCATATAAAGTCTAAACGAGTAAACTTAAACTCTCGATTACGCCTTCTTAAAACATTTATTAACAATAACAAATACACTAATATCAACACAAAACTGCTCATATATAAATCTTTAACCAAACCAGTCTGGACTTATGGCATACAGTTATGGGGTAATGCAAAAAAATCAAATTTAAATAAAATACAAACATTTCAAAATTTAGCACTCAGGAAACTTTTAAATGCTCCTCCTTACGTCTCAAACCACACAATCCACACTGATCTAAAAATGAAATTGGTACACGAAGAAGCTATAGCTCATTACCAACGCTTCCACAATCTTCTTTCCTCTAATAACAACCCGCTAATACGAAATCTTGCAGTCTTTTCTATTCCTGGAAACCCACCCAGACGCTTAAAACGAAAATGGTGTCGTGACCTACTTGTTCAACCCCCTCCCATCAACTAATTCAAGTCAGAGCATCAGCTGCTTAACAATTTTATAATAATAAAAAAAAAAAAAAATTAATATTGAGTGTCATTAGTGGATGACTTCTCACGTCAAGCGTATCATGTCGTAAATTACTCTATACAACCATATAAACCTATTGTGCCCCTAAGGTATAGATTGTTTATCTCAAATAAAGAAAAAAAAAAAAATCGAATATTATACAATTTTCACATTTTTTAATTTACGATTAGCTTTTCATACAAGCTTAAACCGGTTATCATATAGGTAAATATTTATTTAATAAAAAAATTATTTTGTGTATGCTTGTATCCGATCATTCCTTATTGTGGGCCTTATTGCAGAAACGCAATAGTTTTGCAAGATACTTCTGTTTTTGCTTTTTCTCTGGTGCATTGAGTTGATCATTCCTTGCGGCAACAGGCTAGAAAATTATTTTTTTAATAAAAATGATCAGCCCTAAAATGTATCGCCCAGTAACCACCCAAATAAAGACAAAATTATGCATCGATTTACATCCCTAGGTTAAAGCAATATATTGTTATGTGAGTTGAGCAACTTTTACAAGTTGAATTACCTCATTCTGGCTCGCATCGTTTTCGGAATTATTTATCTTTGCATTACCATCTGTTGAATTTAACTTCGCATTATCTCCTTCTATCTCAATACCTGTAAAATGTTTGAATATTAGTTCCGAATTACAGTTAAAACAATGTTAATGTATACCACAAAATCGTGTATCATATATTTTCTTACAAGGCAGGCTTTTCTTATCGATGTTTTTAATTGTATTAGATACCACAAAATAATATAAATATGGTATATGTAACAGTCGAAATTTGTGTTTAAACGTAACTTATAACTTACCATGGACATCAGTTTTTGGTTGGTTATGTAATCGGTCTTCGAGAATTTGTAATCTCTTTGCAAGACATAAATTAATAACTATATTAGTGCGTCTCTGAGTTAAGACATTATCATGTGACTTGGGCTACTTTTACATCTGGTTTAGATAGAAAACTAAGTATGAATTACCTCCTTCAGGTTCGCGACTTCTTCGGTACCGTTCTTAGCTAAGTTTGGGACCAACAAAGGAACTGCAAAAAGTTTTAAAATTAGTTCCGAATTCCAGTTGAAACAATTTAAATGAATACAACTAAATCGTACAAGGGTGGCTTTTATTTTTGATTTTTTCAATTTTATAAGGTACCAAAAATCATTACAAATATGGTATAAGATACAGGTTTTCGAATTTTATGTTTAAAAGTAACTAACTACTTACAACTCATCTTATCTTCGTAACGTAATTGGGGATTGTTTTCTCGCAATATCTTATTAGCTTTTTTCGCAATCTAAAATAATTAAAAAATATTTATAAGTACCTATTTAAATAAAAATATTTTTCTTATGATATATTTTATTATCCATATTAGTGTGTTTTAAGTTTTAAGAATCATACGGTATTTTTTTATTTGATGATAATACTAGTTAATATCTTACAAACCAACTAATAGTACAATAAGTATTTTTTCTACAGTCAGCGTTGCCAATTTTTTTTTTGCTCATTTTTTAAAAATTATCTACTTTAAAATGCATTTGTAAGTTTTTGTGTGTGTAGATCTCTCCTAAAAAGAAAATAGGTTTCTTCATGTGAAAATATGTTCTATAGGTTGTGTTTGTGTGTATACTTTTGTACATTTCTTAATTGGATATTTGTAACATAAATTCAAGTTCATTGTTATTTTCAACAACAATTTAAACATCCAAATATTAGTCATGTTATAGGTTTAGTGAAAAGCAGCCATAGTTACCATAACTGTAAGCCTTAAATTAAAAAGAACTTCTTTAAAATTATTTAACAAAAGTGAAATTATTTCAAAATCTCTTTCAAGAATCACAACCAAAAATGTGCATTGAACTGCATCTGTAAACGATAAAATGTTGATTATGGATTACCTCTTTCAAGTACGCATTATCTTCGGCAATTGTCTTTGCGTCATATTTTACTGAAACAGTTAAATGAATACAACAAAATCGTGTACCAATCGTTGCGTTCCAGTGCGGTTTTTCATAGCGATATTTTGAATTGTTTTAGGTATCACAAATCAATATAAATATGGTATAAAAAAAAGGTTTTTTTAGAAATTAGTGCTTAAGCTTATTTCTTACCACGGACTTCAGTCTTTGGGTCAAAACCTTGTAAGTGATCCCATATTCGTAAACGCTTGTTACTAATTTCTCCTCTCTAAAATAATATTAAGCTAATTATAAGTATTTATTGAATATAATTAATATTGTTTATCTGGGTCATGGAATATAAGTAATAAATATTATATAACCTTATATGGTATTATAAGTGTACACTGAAGAAACCATGAGTAATATTTAAGTTGTTTATACAAGGACCAATTACGACTGTAACCTAGATTGTATAGTATATAAGACATAGATTTAAGGTGTTGGATTTACCATTCTATTACGGCTGCTGTTATAATTGAAACGTACGTTGTATATATATATATTATTCTCTATACTGTGTGTGTTTTTTATATTTAATAGTATTGTGTTAAACATATTATTGTTGTGTTTTATTTTCTACTTAAATACTAACTTCCACCAAGATATACAGGCGTATATCGCAATAGTATTCAAATAAAAACATTTTCCTAGTGAAATATTTTATTACCTATATTAGTGGTGATTTAAGTTTTTAGAATTTTTAGTAAAAAATATTTGTTGTAAACCAACTAATAGTAGGTATGTATTTTTTTTCTACAGTCGGCGCTGTCAGTTTTTGTCGTTTAAGAATAGTCTACTCAAAAATGTAGTGTTACTATTGTAATAGTACATCTGTTAATGATAAAATACTAAATATGGATTACCTTTTCATCATACAATTCTAAATTGACCTTAAAAACAAAGTATTAAACATAAATTTAAAATTATATTTAGTTCATTAAAATTTTAACAGTTTTTTTTCTAATTTATAAATGTTTTAAAATAAAATGTAGTATTATGTGAGTTGCACTATTTTTACATTTGTTTAAGATCAAAATCGAAATAAATATTACTTTTTCCAGTTCTTCGAGTTCCTTAAACTTGAAAACAAAGTATTGAACATAAAATTAACATTTGTTTTAAATCCATTTAAATTTTTACATAATTATAATTTTTATTTTACATAGTATAAATGTTTACAACTAAATTGTAGTGAGCATGCAACTACATTACACTTTATAAGAAAGTGTTTATTATAAAAATAAACTTTTAAACATTATATAAAAACTGGTTTTGCATGCATAATCGTTTTTAAATTATTCAAAAGTTTTAAAAGTGTTAAAATTTCTAAAACTAAATTGTTCTAACTAAATTTTAAGTAAAATGTAGTATAAACCGTGGTAGATGATCCATCAACAGTATAATAATAATTTCTAGGTTTGGTATGACTAATTTTTTTTTATTTCAAATAATAGCTATGGCATAATGTTTTTTGAAAACAACAAAACGATACATCTCCCACCCCTAGCTTCCACCCCTACCTCTTATCTCCTATATCTTTCCCTATCCCCTACTCACTAGCTCCCACCCCTATCTCCCTTAATAAAAATTCAAAACAGTTTAAGGGCCCAAATTCTTTATAAATTGTTTTCAGCCAAATATTAAACACTACAATATTAGCTAGAAACTTGATGTTTTCATATACTAGCTTGTTACTGCTTCTTAATATACTATATCGTTATCTATAATTCCACCACTACTCTAAATTTATTCAGTACTTCAACGAGACATGAAAATGCGTGGTTGCAGACTCGGCTGAATAACTTTTTCAATCAATAAAGTCAAAATGTTTATGACTGTTTAATGTTTATTTTGTGTTAGTTAGGCTGCGTAGAAACAGTTGTATTAAAGTATGACGCAAAAGACAACGTTTTTTAAAAACAATAAAACGACACATATTTTTAAAAAATAACACTCGTGTAAATAGGAACTTTATTTCATATGTTCACAATATTGTAAATTTATTAAAAAAAGGGATTGATTTTTTTTTTAATTCGTATAATTATATAGTACTCATGTAATAGTTCTTATACACAGTTTTACATTCCTAAACCCAACATACAGTACGAAATAGTGCCATTTTATATCGCTTAAGATTACATTTGAAATATGACTTACCTGTGACGGGGAGGTCACAGGTTTACAGGAATTTTTAAATCTGAAAGTGATAAAATCACTTTCGAAAAAACGCTTCGATGCAAATCGGTAGTTAGTATTTTCAAGCCAGTACAGTCCAAATCAAGCACAGTATAAACCAGCAAAGTTAGCAAGTTTTAAATGAAGGTTCTGTATTTACAAATGAGCATCAAAGCGTTAATTTGAAAGTGATTTTATCCGAGAGGACTAGTACAGTAGAGTATTGGCATAATGTAATCAAAGCAATGAGGAAACGGAGAGGTCACAGGTCTACAAGAATTATTATAAATAAAAGTGATAAAATTGAATAAAATCGCTTTCAAATAAACGCTTTGATGCTCATTTGTAAATACAGAACCTTCATTTAAAACTTTCTAACTTTGCTGGTTTATACTGTGCTTGATTTGGACTGTACTGGCTTGAAAATACTAACTACCGATTTGCATCGAAGCGTTTTTTCGAAAGTGATTTTATCACTTTCAGATTTAAAAATTCCTGTAAACCTGTGACCTCCCCGTCACCACTATGCCCCGACCCAACTATGCTCCGTCCCCACTATGCACCGACCCCACTGTACTGGTTTTTTTTTTTTTTTGCAAAAACTTAGTGGACCAAAAAACACAAATACAATGTCTTGTTATATTTTGTTGGAATGGTCGACGATTCATGTTTCAATCGTTTGTACTCCATAGTTTAAATTATAAACGCGTATTCTCAATAAAATTAATATTTATGTATTATATACTTCTATTAGAGCAATCTCACACAAATTATTTATACTTCCTAGATTATATTATTTCAAAGCTATATTATACTTCTATTTTACTAGATTGACAATGTACAAAATAAAATGCAACTAAAAAAACCTTTTCATAGATCCTTAAAATATAAAGGGTGGGTTAGTGAAACGGGTTTTACCATTTAAATACATTAGAAAACCGCCTCATAATACTGCCTCATCCTGTATATTAATTTCTTGTTATTTTCTAAAGAAAAATCGATTTTCTTACATTTAAATTAAAATAAATCGTATACTGGTACCGTGATGGAGAAAACAATACATTTTACCTACATATATTACTTATTAGTTAAATATTACTAACGTGTATAGCCACTAGCAGTCGGCTATTGCCTGTTATTTAACAATAACCTTTTATGGAGATTTTAAAAATTGTGTTTTTTTAATAATAGCATAGGAGCAGTATCATGATGTTAAATGTTCACGAGATTTGATCTAGTCATAAAATAAAGTATTATCATTTATGACTTAATTATTATTAAAATTTATCTTAATCTGTACATAGTAATAAAATAATGAAATATTTTATACAAAATTAGAGCTACAAGTTGATTAACTAAAAAATTAAAATTAGCACGAAGCAGATTATCTAATATTAGACAATTTAAACAATCGAGCGTGAATTTCTTTAAATGAATAACAGTATAACAATATACAAAACATTAGTTTTCCTTTAAAAAAATTGTGTAATAAAAAAAACATTTTGAGGCGGTATACTGCATAAAAACCAACACTTAATCTGAATCCAAAAAACAACAGTCCTCTTCATTATTTGCAGGTAGTTGGACATTATACACTCATAGTTACACTTCGGTAAGGTTATATAACGCAGGCTATAAAATAACGAGATAACGACAGTGGTTTTGTCGTATCAGAATCATTAAGTGTCTTAATAAGTACACGGATAGGTTTTTTTCCCAATAAATCGAGTTTCTAAGAATTAAACTTTTTCAATTTCCCCCCCCCCCTAAAGTACCAACTAGATGAAATTTGCGATTCATGGAGTTGCTACTCGAAGGAATTGGTCCAGTATTAAAAAAGTTACAGTGTATACAGATAAAAAAAAAACACACATCAGAGTAAAACCAATACCTTCTCGCTTTGCATCGAAGCTAAAACATTTATCTGGATTTTTGTGAAAAAGGCATTAAAAGTGGTCAAATTATATGTTTTTGGGGTCGGTGATTACGAATTTGTTATCAGTTCTCAATTTTAATCAGCCAGAAAGAACTTAAGTAAAAAAAAAAAAAAAAAATGAACTTTGTGTAAACTTTAAGTCAAGAGTGGTACTTGAGCACAAAACCTAATAGTATCATTCTGCATAGATATAAATAAAATTGTTTTAATGATTTGATCAATTTTTTTTAAAGATTTTAGGTGTTTTTGTTAAAATATACGAAATCTGCGAAAACACAGTTTCCCGGCAGTTAAAAAAAAACTGTAGTGCCGAATATTTTTCCCGTTTAATATGTTATGAGCACATATGAGTTCCAACTACTGCCAAATTTTCAACCCAAAATTTTTAAAATTACCGCTAAAAACCCGGAAAAACAAAAAAAATTGTACCCCCTCTAGGGGGGTGGGAAATGGGTATAGTTTAAGTTTGACACAACTGACGTGTGCGGGCATACCAAATAATTATTTCTTATACATTTCAACTCGATCCGACTCTTTTTCTCGAAATTATAGCCAGTAAAAGTTCTAACTTAAAAACTCGTACGGTTTTTTTTTTGTTTTTTCAACTTTCGTCTGTGAAGAATTAAACTTTTTCAACTTTTACTCCCCCAAAATACCAACTAGATGAAAAATGCGATTTATAGAGTTGCTATTCGAAAGAATTGGTCCAGTATTAAAGAAGTTACAGTGTATACAGATAAAAAAAAAACACACATCAGAGTAAAACCAATACCTTCTCGCTTTGCATCGAAGATAAAAATGTAACAACACGTTTTTGTACAAAATGCAAAAAGGTTACTCATGTACAAATATATCGGCTAGAAAAAAACAACATGTTTTTATATTGGCTACAATTTTAAAAAAAGCCATACCTTATTATCTGGTTTGAATATATGTTGATTTAAACTCGTTTTAGGAGATGAAAAGTCTATTATAAAAAATGCAATGTCTAAACACTTAATACATGTAAATGTAACCTATATACGGATTTATCGTTTTGAAAAAAACAAAAAGCAACAGATAGTATTTTACACGTTTTGTAACAGAGATACCAAATTATTTGGTTAAATATACTTTACATGTTTATTGCTACTCGTTAATTAGATTACTTAACCTATTCTCTGGTTTGTTTGATAATACCCAAATTATATTAGATTTGACAAAATACAGAAATTATTATAAAAATACAAAAATCATAAAACAAAAAAATAATATTATAATTAATCGGTAAAAGTAAACTCTTTAATTAATAAAGCTGTTCATTAAAAAAACCGTCAAAAAGGGATTACAGGTGTTATAATAATAAAAAAAACTCTTTTTGGAATATTTTTGTTAAATTTTTTATTTTTGTGAAATTTTACATAATGTAACTCAAAACCCACGTAAACATAAAAGATAAATATGTCTCATAAAGAAAAAAGAAAAAATGTATAAAGTAACTACAACAGTACTAAACAGGAATTAATAGTAAACAAGTATTATATAAGTCAGAACCCATGTTAACATAAAAGATAAATAAATGTAAAGGAGTGAGAAATAATTTTAAAAAAATTATATAATAACAATAATGTAAAGGAAATTAAATATATGATACAATATTGTAGTACATTTTAATCATTATTTAATAACCATATCTTTGTTAGTAATTTAAAAGTTACAAAATGTTCATATTTCTTAATTTGTGTTTAGGTAGGTTTTAATGCAATCTTAAACCGGTTATTAGATAGGTATATATTTATTTATTAAACAACTTATTATGTGTATGCTTGTATCCCATCACTCTTTATGGCGGCCACAAAGAAGTTTTGAAAGACATTTATTTTTTCTTACCGTGGACTTCAGTTTTTGGTTGGTTATCTAAACGGTCTTCGAGCATTTGTATTCTCTTTGCAAGACATATATTAATAACTATATTAGTGAAGTTTTAAGATTCAACAATTTTTAACTTTTTTAGATTACATTACTAGTTAATAACTTATAAGCCACCTAATAGTGTATAAAGTTATGAATCTACAGCCAGCATTGCCAGTTTTATCGTATAAAAATTATCTACACTAAAATATATTGCCTGCCCAAATAAAAGTCTAGTCTGATAGGTTTCAAACACATTTTGACTTAGTGCATCAACTACATTTTTAATGAATATAAATTTATTGTTAGGTTCTTTTGATATGATGAACTATAAATTTCATATTTCAAAAAATATTTCGTAATATCCTTTGGCTTCTCGACTTAGTATTTATTTCATTTAAAATTTAAACTATTGATACCATTTTTGAAATTCAATAATCATTATATGTTAAAAACATTTTTTTTTATTTGGCATTTGCTTAAACAAATATAAATTGTTATTTATCGTGTAAGTTTAAATTAAAGTATTCAAATTTTATTAGTGCGTCTCTGAGTTAAAACATTATCATGTGACTTGGGCTACTTTTACATCTGGTTTAGATTGAAAACTAAGTATGAATTACCTGTTTCAAGTTCGCGATTTCTTCGGTAACGTTCTTAGCTAAGTTTGGGACCAACAAAGGAACTGCAAAAAGTTTTAAAATTAGTTCCGAATTCCAGTTGAAACAATTTAAATGAATACAACTAAATCGTACAAGGGTGGCTTTTATTTTTGATTTTTTCAATTTTATAAGGTACCAAAAATCATTACAAATATGGTATAAGATACAGGTTTTCGAATTTTATGTTTAAAAGTAACTAACTACTTACAACTAATCTCATCTTCGTAACGTAATTGGGGATTGTTTTCTCGCAATATCTTATTTGCTTTTTTCGCCATCTAAAATAATTAAAAAATATTTATAAGTACTTATTTAAATAAAAATATTTTTCTTATGATATATTTTATTACCCATATTAGTGTGTTTTAAGTTTTAAGAATCATACGGTATTTTTTTATTTGATAATAATACTAGTTAATATCTTACAAACCAACTAATAGTATAATAAGTATTTTTCTACAGTCAGCGTTGCCAATTTTTTTTTTGCTCATTTTTGAAAAATTATCTACTTTAAAATGCATTTGTAAGTTTTTGTGTTGGATTACCTCTTTCAAGTACGCATTATCTTCGGCAATTGTCTTTGCGTCATATTTTACTGAAACAGTTAAATGAATACATCAAAATCGTGTACCAATCGTTGCGTTCTAGTGCGGTTTTTCATAGCGATATTTTGAATTGTTTTAGGTATCACAAATCAATATAAATATGGTATAAAAAAAAAGGTTTTTTTAGAAATTAGTGCTTAAGCTTATTTCTTACCATGGACTTCAGTCTTTGGGTCAAAACCTTGTAAGTGATCCCATATTCGTAAACGCTTATTACTAATTTCTCCAGTCTAAAATAATATTAAGCTATTTATAAGTATTCAAATAAAAACATTTTCCTAGTGAAATATTTTATTACCTATATTAGTGGTGATTTAAGTTTTTAGAATTTTTAGTAATTAATATTTGTTATAAACCAACTAATAGTAGGTATGTATTTTTTTTTCTACAGTCGGCGCTGTCAGTTTTTATCGTTTAAGAATGGTCTACTCAAAAATGTAGTGTTACTATTGTAATAGTACATCTATTACGATAAAATACTAAATATGGATTACCTTTTCAATGTACAATTTTGAATTGACCTTAAAAACAAAGTATTAAACATAAATTTAAAATTATATTTAGTTCATTAAAATTTTAACAGTTTTTTTTTCTAATTTATAAATGTTTTAAAATAAAATGTAGTATTATGTGAGTTGCACTATTTTTACATTTGTTGAAGATCAAAATCGAAATATATATTACTTTTTCCAGTTCTTCGAGTTCCTTAAACTTGAAAACAAAGTATTTAACATAAAATTAACATTTGTTTTAAATCCGTTTAAATTTTAAACATAATTATAATTTTTATTTTACATAGTATAAATGTTTACAGCTAAATTGTAGTAAGCATGCAACTACGTTACACTTTTTAAGAAAGTGTTTATTATAAAAATAAACTTTTAAACATTACATAAAAACTGGTTTTGCATGCATAATCGTTTTTATATTATTCAAAAGTTTAAAAAGTGTTAAAATTTCTAAAACTAAATTGTTTTAACTAAATTTTAAGTAAAATGTAGTATAAACCCTGGTAGATGATCCATCAATAGTATAATAACAATTTCTAGGTTTGGTATGAAACTGATGAAAATTCAAAATAGTTTAAGGGCCCAAACTCTTTATGAATTGTTTTCAGCCAGATATTAAACACTACAATATCAGCTAGAAACTTGATGTTTTAATATACTAGCTTGTTACTGCTTCTTAATATACTATATCATTATCTATAATTCCACCACTACTCTAAATTTATTCGGTACTTCAACGAGACATGAAAATGCTCTTTCGTGGTTGCAGACTCGCCTGAATAATTTTTTCAGTCAATAAAGTCAAAATGTTTATGACTGTTTAAAGTTTATTTTGTGTTACTTAGGCTGCGTAGAAACAGTTGTATTAAAGTATGACGCAAAAGACGTTTTTTAAAAACCAAAAAAAACGACACATATTTTTAAAAAATAAGACTCGTGTAAATAGAGACTTTATTTCATATGTTCACAATATTGTGAATTTTTTAAAAAAAGGTATTGAATTTTTTTTTAATTCGTATAGTTATATTGTACTCATATAATAGTTCTTATACACAGTTTTACATTCCTAAACCCAACATACCGTACGAAATAGTGCCATTTTATATCAGTTTAAGATTACATTTGAAATATTACTTACCTCGTTCACGAATACTTCATATAACGCTGCCTTAAAAAAGTAATAAATACAAAATTAACACTTGCTTTAAATCGATTTTAATTTTGAACATAAGCATTAATTTTTAAATTCTTAAAAATGCATTAAATCTCGATTACCTTCTGTGAGTCTTTTAATTCAGAATGTGTTAGTTTTAAACAACAAATTATTAAACATAACACAAATATTGCTTTTGCATGCATCGTAGTAATTTTAAAATTATACAAAAGTGTTTAAAAAGCCTTCAAAATTATTATAATTGAATTTAGTATATAATGACTGGTGTTATTAACGCCAATTTAAAAGTGCATAAAAAGGAATTAACTTGTACCCACGAAGTAAAAACACAACCAATAAAATACGCTCTAAGACAAACAAAATGTGTTTTGCCAGATCTAACGTTTTAGTTACGAAAATTCGTCCGTTCTTTTAATTTGTACAAAAACAAAATGAGGTCACCTCTGTACACACATGTTGGTCTAAAATGTGTATATAGTGTATAAAATTCAAATGTCTACCGATTTACACAAATTTTTTTGGGCAAATTACATTTGAAATTGATATAATAACACCCGCCATATTTTAAAATATCATCACAAATTAACATTTGTTTTAAATACATTTAAATTTTTAACATAATTTTTATTTTTATTTAGTAAAAACACAATCAATCTATAATACGCTCTAAGACCAACAAAAGCAAATATGTGTTTTACCAAACCTATCGTTTTAGCTACGAAAATTATTCGAGAATTCGTCCGTTACCATATTAAATTTGTACAGAAATCAAAATGAGATCACCGCTTTACACACATGTTGTTCTAAAATGTGTATGTTGTGTATAAAATTCAAATATCTACAGTCTTACACATACTTTTTGGGACAAATTGAATTTAAAATTGATATTATAACACCCGCCATATTTTACAATAGCACCTAGAATAGCTTTATTAAGGTTTATTATCGAGTAAAAGTTGTTTTTCACTATTATTATTGTTGCAATGTAATTAAATGATAAATAACATAATACAATTTTATATGGTTTATTGTCAATATGACAAGGCTGCTAATGGACACTGGCTTTTTGTTCTGCCTATCTAGTACACCATAGGCGATTGTTTAATCTTTTGAGTTAAAACCCTATAGAAACCAATTATTCCACGTATATTCTGCTAGTAATCCAAACGATACATAAATAGAATACAAAATATTATTCATGATTAACTTATGCTTGGGGACATTGATTATGACTGATTGTGAGTCATATAAATAACTGCCAGACATATTACATGTTATATGGTAGTGTTGTACTTTTTTCTCTCACATTCTCTCTTTTAATATTTTCAATAGTAATTTAGAAGCACTATTCATTGAGATTAGCGTTTGATATTGTTTACAGGTTTTACTCGAGGTTTTCTCGGTGTGCCACTAATACACTGATAGACTAGTACAATGGTTCCATTCCTAAGGCATATACATATATCCTATGTCATTAGTAAAAAGCGTTTATATTATAAAAAAACAACGTCAAAAAGGAATTACAGGTGTCATAATAAAAAAAAAACTCTTTTTGGTATATTTTATTAAATTTTTTATTTTTGGGAAATTTTACATGGGTAATGTGACTCAAAACTCAAATGTAAAAATAAAAGATAAATATGTAAAGAAGTAAGATATAAAATATTTAAATAACAATATAATAGCAATGATATGAAGGAAATTAAATATAAGATACAATAAAAATATTGCTTGAAAGAAAATAATTTTAATCATTATTTAATAACCATATCTTTATTAGTAATTAATATGTTATACAATTTTCACATTTATTAATTTGTGTTTTGGTAGCTTTTCATATAATCTTAAAACAGTTATCAGATAGGTGTATATTTAATTAACAAAACAAAGTTGTGTATGCCTGTATCCGATCACTCCTTATTGTGGTCCTTCTTGTGCACATGAAATAGGCTCGAAATCGTATTTCTTATTTTTTTTTTCACTGGTGCATTGAGTTGTTCATTTTTTGCAGCAACAGGCTGCAAAAATATATTTTTAATAAAAATGATTAGTCTTTAAAGTATAGCCTACCCAAATAAAAGACAAGTCTGGAATTTTTAAAACACATATTAACATTAATATTTTTGTATTATCTGTTGTGGTTAAATAAAATATAAAAATTGTGTTTATTATATAATAATAAAAGCTCTGTAAAAATGGCTAATAAAACTGAAAAATATTTCAAAATTTGTTACAATGACCATAACCAAAAGATAGCATCGATTGTATCCCTGGGTAAAAACTATACATTGTTAAGCCAGTTGCGCTATTTTTACATTTGATTGTGATAGTAAAATAAATGGATTACCTTTTCCTGGCACGCATCATTATCTTTCTTAAAAATCAAGTATTAAACATAAAATTAACACTTTCCTTAAATCCGTTTTAGCTTTAGACATATACTTTTTTTGTAATTATTAAAAATGCATCGCTGGGTTAATACAATAAATTGTTATTTAAATTTCGCTTATTTTAGATCTGATTATAATAATATACTAAAATATATGAGTTACCTTTTTCAGGTTGGCTTCATTTGTAGCAGTGGTGTCAGCTGAGACTGGGGCCAATGGTTGACCTGTATAACGGTTTTAATTAGATCCGAATTACAGTTAAAACAATTGTAATGAATACAACAAAAGCTTGTACCATTTATAGAGTGTAAATATGGATTTTCATTTTGATATTTTCAATTGTGTTAAGTATCACAAATCAATATAAATATGTTATATGTATAACAGTTTTTTCTGAAATATAAGTTTAAATGTAACTTATAACTTACTTGTCTGTGAAAGATCATCTGTTACGGATTCGTGGATAAGATCTTGGCTGTTAACATGTACGTCTTTCTAAAATGACAGACGAAAATAAAAAAACATTTAGACGTATTTAAATAAAAATACTTTTTTTACGACAGAATTTATACCTATATCAGTAACGTTTTAAATTTCAAGAATTTTACCCTATTAGATTATAACACTAGTCAATGACTTACAAGCCAACTAACTAATAGTATTTATAGTTATCAATCTACAGCCAGCGTTGCCACATGTTATAGTTTATTATTAAAAAACGATGCACTATAATATGTATTGCCTACATAAATTATGTTATTTGCGCTACCATTACATGTGGTTTTGATAAAACACTAAAGTAGAATTACCTCATTCTGGTTTGCATCGTTTTCGGAAATATTTACCTTCGCATTATCATATCTTAAGGATTCGTGGATACGGTCGACACTCTTAACATTTTCATCTTTCTAAAACGATATTAAAGTAATATTAGGAAGTATAAAAAAAAAATACTTTTTCTCATAACATAATTTACACCTATATTAGTTTCAAGAATTTTACCCTATTATACTAGTTCATGACTTTTAAAATAAAAAACTTAAAAGCCAACTAATAGTGTATATAGTTATTAATCTACAGCCAGCGTTGCCAGTTTTTATCGCTCATAATTTAAAAATTATCTTGTCTAAAATATATCGCCTTCCCAAAAAAAAGTCGAGTCTGAAAGATTTAAAAAGATTAGGAGATTCCAGTGGGCTGGTCACTATAACCTAACCTAGCGTAGTTAGAACCCGTTATTGTACATGGTATTGGCAGAAAACTCAGAAGGGAAAAGACCTCTTGGATTACCCCGTTTAAGATGGGAAGACTTAGAATCACTGAATGATGGTCCAGATTGGAAAACAAAATCAGCTAACAGATAAACTTGGAGGATCGGTTGATTGACGAAATGGGCTTAATGGCCGGTTATACTCAAGAAGAAGAAAGAGAAAGATTTAAAACACATATTGACATATAATGTTAAAATCAGCTTTACTAATCATTACTGTCAGCCATAAGTTAATAAAAAGAGCCTTTAGAGTTAGTTATGAAAACGAAAAATATTTCAAAAAATCTGTATAAAAAACTTTAACGAAAGCCAAACAAGTGCATTGTTTTTTAGTCCTAGGGCAATCTACTTAAGATAAAATACTGTTTATAAATTACCTTTTTAACGTACATACCTTCATCATCCTTTAAAACAAAGCATTAAATATAAAATTAACACTACTGACACATATCCATTTCTTTTTAACACAATAAACTTTATACATTAAAGCAACATTTAATTTATATTACTTAGTAATTATTGTTTAAAATATATATTAATTAATAATGATTGATAAATTGTATTTTATATTATTATATTAAATTAAAATAATGGTTTGTATTCTTTCAAATAACCTGTAACATTTCCGTTGGTTCTACTTTTTTGTTGTCGGCCATTATCCACGATACTTTGGCAGCGAGCTAAAAACAATATGTAATTAATTAAATACTACATTTTTTTGATTATGCATTTATTATATCAGATCAAATTTCAGTCCATATTTATTTATAACAATAATTCGAGCATCCAAATATTCGTTAGGTTATATGTAAGTTTAGGATTAGTAAAAAGTTAGTGTTACTGTTTTGTTTTGTAGGAAAACAGCTTATATATACTTTACTGCCAGACCTTTATTAATATAAATTCTTTACAGTAGGTGACTAAAAAAGAAAATATTTCAAAATCTGTTCCAAGAATTATAACTAAAAGCCAAAAATGTCCATCAAATTGCATCTATGATTTAAAACAACACGTCATTTTGTGAGTTGTGCTATTTTTACATCTGTTTAAGATTAAATACTAAATATGAATTACCTTTTTCACGTACAAATAATCTTCGGCCTTTAAAATTGGATTATCTCCTTCTATCTGAATACCTGTAAAATGATTCAATATTAGTTCCGAAGTACAGTTAAACAATTTTAATGAATACAACAAAATCATGTATCGTTCGTTGAGTAAGTGCGGTTTTTCGTTTTGATATTTTTTATAGTTTAAGATACCACTAATCAATATAAATATAGTATAAACAATTGTTTTTCTCGAAATTATTGTTTAAACTTGTTACTTACTACGGATTTTAATCATTGGTTACATACCTTTTTCGCGTTTCTGGACTCGCTCCATCTTTGCTAAATTGTCCTTTGCCTAAGTTATTATTAAAAATGTACAATTAATTAAAAAATGTAATACATCATCAGTAGAGTTTTAAGTTTTAAATATTGTGCACTATTACATTATGATACAAGTACCTAATTACTTTTATGCTAACTAATTGTGTATATAGATATTTATCTACAGCCAGTGTTGCCAGTTGTTATTGCTCAATATATAAAAATGATGTCTAAAATGTATTGCCTACCCAAAAAAAACATTACATTCATTTTTGATTAGTTTGGGTATAAGCCATAAGTTAATATAACGTTTTTAAAGTGTTTATTAAATTTTCGAGCATTTAAGTATTAGTAACGTTATAGGGAAGCTTAGGTTTGGTAAAAAATTAGTGGTTCAATTTTTTGTTTTGTTTTGTAGGAATCCGGCTTAAATAACCGTTACAGTTAGCCGCAAATTATAAAAGGTCTTTTAACATATGTTTGCGATAAAATACTAAACATGGTTTACCTTTTCTGTGCACACACCACAATTGCCCTAAAAAACAATGTTTAAAACACAAAATTAACACTTGTTAAATCTATTTTAATTTTATCCTAATTTATTAAAAAAATTTTTTAATAAAAAAATATATTATTACGTGAGTTGCGCTACTTTTACAACTGTTAAATACAAAATTATAAATATAGATTACCTTATTCCGGTGCTCACACTCCTTCCTCTTAAAAACAAAGTATTAAACATAAAATGAATACTTTTTTTTATAACCATTTTATTTTTTAACATATTAGTAAATATATATATATATATTTTAATTATTAATAATTTATTCAACTGAAATATAGTAGGCATGTAATTAGGGTTACACTTTTTCACATGCAATTATTTCAGTACATTTTAAGAAAATTACTTAAATATCGATTAACCATTGCTTCTCAGTGTAGGCAAAACGTTTGTTTTAAAAACCAAACTTTTAAAAATTAAACGAAAACTGTTTTTTTATGCATAATAGTTTTGAAACTATTCAAAATTTTATAAAATGTGTAAGGAAATAGGGTTGGCATTAAAAATGTGGATGGAGATAGGGTTGGGGGTAGGAATGGGGATGTGGTTAGTGGTGGGGATGTTAAATTTTTTAAATTATGTGTTGTATTTACAACGGTCAAACTATAACTGAAAAATAAATTAAATAATATTACAGTTCATATTCATTCCCTATGAATTATTTTAGGCCAGATATTATGTAAAAACTAAAATATTATCAAGAAACTTGATATGTTTATTAGCCACCTTAGATACTAGCTTGTTACTACTTGTTTATATACTATTTAATAACTATAACTCCACTACTACTCTATATTTATTCGGCACTTCAACGAGACATGAAAAAGCTCTTTCATAGTGGCAGACTCGGCTGAAAAATAGTTTTATTCATTTATTGCTTATTATTTCAAAATTATTAAGCATTAAACAAACTTTAACTTTTATAAATTTGTAAATACTGTTTAAAAATTCGAGCATCAATTCAATAGCTATTACTGCCAGGGTTACAAATAACCCTTATTGAATAAAAACAGAAAATATCAACAACCAGACACATTTATTATAGATTGACGGACTTGCTGATCATGTAAAGGCAATCCAACGGTATTTTTAATTTGAAATTGATTTTATCCGAGAGGCCTAGTACAGTTGAATCTATATTTTACTATATTTCTCATTATGCCTATGCATAAGTGATAAAATTAAATAAATTAACTTTCAAATAAACGCTTTGATGCTTATTTGTAAATACAGAACCTCAGTTAAAACTTTCTATCTTTGCTGGTTTAGACTTGCTTGGTTTGGACTGTACTGGCTTGAAAATACTAACTACTGATTTGCATCTAAGCGTTTTTTCGAATGTGGTTTTATCACTTTCAGATTTAGAAATTCCTGTAAACCTGTAACCTCCCCGTCTCCACTATTCCCCGACCCAACTATGCTTTGTCCCCTCTATGCCCCGGCCCCACTGTACTGTTTTTTTTATCTTTTATTTAACTTATGACTAAAGCAAAAATAACCGATCACGTAAGTATAGGTACGCAATTTAGCAAGTGTTATTTAGGCTGTGTAGAATCAGCCTTATTAAAGTATGACGCAAATTACAATGTTTTTTGAAAACAACAAAGGGATACATGTACTTAAAAAATAAAACACTCATTTAAATAGAAATTTTATTTAAATGCTTACAATATTATAAATTTATTTTAAAAAATGGATTGCTTTTATTTTTAATTTGTACATAATAGTCCATATACAACATTTTAAGTTTCTTAACCCAAAATATCTTACAAAATCCAATATCATATAGTTATTAATTTATTGTTTATTTCAAAATTATTAAGCATTAAACACATTTTAATTTTGATAAATTTGTAATAACTGTTTAAAAATTCGTGCACCAATTAAATAACAATTTCTGCCAGCCCTTAATTAATGAAAAATACTTAAAGTTGTTTAATTAAACAGAAATAAAATTTAAATTCTCTTTCAAAAACCATAATTAAAGGCTAAAAATGTGCATCAATTTGTATTTTTGTGTTAAAACAATACACTATCATAAAAGTTGCACTACTTTTACATTTGATTAAGAAAAAATACAAAGTATGAATTACCACTTCCGCGAGTACTTTTCCTAAAGCTACCTTTAAAAAAAAGTATTTAACGTATCATGTACATTTTTTTAAAATTATTAAACATATATTCTACTAGTAAGTATGATTTACCTCTTCCGCGAAATCTTTGAAAAACGTTTCCTTAAAAAGAAAGTATTAAGCGTAGTACATTTTAAAGCCATATACATTTTTTTTTAAATTATTAAACATATATACTACTACAACTAAAATGTGTTAAGTATTTTTTTACTGTTACACTTTTAGCTTCGATGTAAAGCGAGAAGGTATTGGTTTTACTCTGATGTGGGCTTTTTTTTTCGCTGTATACACTGTAACTTTTTTAATACTAGACCAATTCCTTCGAATAGCAACTCTATAAATCACAAATTTTGTCTAGTTTGTACTTTGGGGGGGTAAAAGTTGAAAAAATTTAAGTCTTCACGGACGAAAGTTGAAAAAACAAAAAAAAAAACCGTACGAGTTTTTAAGTTAGAACTTTTACTGGCTATAGTATCAAGAAAAAGAGTCGGATCGAGTTGAAATGTTTAAAAAATATTTATTTGGTAAGCCCGCGCACGTCAGTTTTGTCAAATTCAAAATATACCCATTTCCCGCCCCCCTAGGGGGGGTACAAGTTTTTTTGTTTTTCGGGGTTTTTAGCCGTAATTTTAAAACTTTTGGGTTGAAAATTTGCCAGTAGTCGGAACTCATATGTACCCATAACATATTAAACGGGAAAAAAATTCGGCACTACAGTTTTTTTTTAATTGCCGGGAAACTGTGTTTTCGCAGATTATGTATATTTTAACAAAAACACTTAAAATCTTTAAAAAAAATTGATCAAATCATTAAAACAATTTTATTTATATCTATGCAGAATGATACTATTAGGTTTTGTGCTCAAGTACCACTCTTGACTTAAAGTTTACACAAATTCAACTTTTTTTTTTTTTTTTTTTAACTAAAAACCCAGTGTACCAGATGTGAGAAACGAACAGACACTAAAAACTACCAGTTGGTAACGTCTATCCGTGTTAGATTAGGTTAGGGTCCATGATCGGTATCATAATATTGTGTTTATTACATGATATCATAGGCGACTAAATCGTGTAACTGATTATAGTAGACACTCGATTTATTGGGAAAAAAACCTATCCGTGTACTTATTAAGACATTTAATGATTCTGATACGACAAAACCACTGTCGTTATCTCGTTATTTTATAGCCTGCGTTATATAACCTTACCGAAGGTTAACTATGAGTATTTAATGTCCAACTACCTGCAAATAATGAAGAGGACTGTTGTTTTTTGGATTCAGATTAAGTGTTGGTTTTTATGCAGTATACCGCCTCAAAATGTTTTTTTTATTACACAATTTTTTTAAAGGAAAACTTATGTTTTGTATATTGTTATACTGTTATTCATTTAAAGAGATTCACGCTTGATTGTTTAAATTGTCTAATATTAGATAATCTGCTTCGTGCTAATTTTATTTTTTTAGTTTATCAAGATAATACTTTATTTTGTGACTAGATCAAATCTCGTGAACATTTAACATCATGATACTGCTCCTATGCTATTATTAAAAAAACACAATTTTTAAAAACTCCATAATAGGTTATTGTTAAATAACTGGCAACAGCCGACCGCTAGTGGCTATACATGTTAGTAATATTTAACTAATAAGTAATAAATGTAGGTAAAATTTATTGTTTTCTCCATCACAGTACCAGTATACGATTTATTTTAATTTAAATGTAAGAAAATCGATTTTTCTTTAGAAAATAACAAGATATTAATATACAGGATGAGGCAGTAAAACGGCGATTTTCTAATTTTATGAAATGGTAAAAACCCGTTTCACTATCCCACCCTTTACATTTTAAGGATCTATGAAAAGGTTTTTTAGTTGCATTTTATTTTGTACATTGTCAATCTAGTAAAATAGAAGTATAATATAGCTTTGAAATAATATAATCTGTGAAGTATAAATAGTTGGTTTGAGATTGCTTTAATGGAAGTATATAATACATAAATATTAATTTATTGAGAATAAGCGATTATAATTTAAACTATGGAGTACAAACGATTGAAACAT